GAGTCTGATGACCCCCCCCCCCCTGCGGTCCTCACCTTGCATGATCTGCTTGAGCGCAACGGACCGGCGGTCCACCCCGATCTTCTCCCACTGCCCGGTAGCGTCAAGATAGTGGGTGGCGATAACTGATGGCGTCATGGTGATCATGTTCTGCTCCCCGCAGCCGGCAGGGGTGACGATAAGATGGTTCAGGTTGGCCCCGTCGATGGAGTCTTCGACAATCTGGGCCACGGGGTTTCCTGGCCGGAAAAACCCAGAAAGTGGGTATGTGGGCGGAAAGACAGGGGGACTGGTGGGTCGAGACGGCACGCTCCCATGATGGCGAGGAGCCAAAGTTCTTTGCTGGACTGCCACGTTTCCGTCTGTGAATTTGTTTCACCACCACCACCTTCTTTGGGACAACCAGGATCTGTAATAATTACCTTTGGGGGGGCTCAATTTCAAGTTGCCGGTTATTGGCCTACCCAGGGGTCATTTCATAGAAAAAGAGCTAGGGGAACTCATTAGCATAACTCATTAGCATATGTCACACCCCCTGACATCACCGGAAGTGTGTCATAAGGCCACACCCCCTGACATCACCGGAAATGTGTCATAAGGCCACAAACCCCGCTCGAACGGTCCCGGCCACCGCTGCCGGCCTTGCAGCTCCACTGCCGAGCCCCATGAGGGGCCCAGCGGTGGACCTGCAAGGCCGGCGGGAGTGCGAGGAAGCCCCGCGAAGGCCCTCCCTGGCCCCAGGCAGGCAGGGGTGGGGAGAGGCAGGGAGGAAGCAACTTACCCTCCCTCTTCTCCTGCCTCCTCCTGGCTGAATGAGGGCCAGAAGCGGGGTGGCTGGAAGCAGGAGGCGGGGCTTCATCATGTGGCCCCCCGTACCTCACCCGGGGGAACTGCGTTCCCCCGCGTTCCCCCCCGAAATGTCCTCTGGGCCTACCATCGCCCAAATGAAAACACCATGCCAGATGAATTGGTTCAACCGGGATTTTCATTCTCTTATCAATGATCTAAGCCAGTCAGGGCTCTTTTTGTAGCAGGGACTCCTTTGCATACTAGGCGACACACCCCTAACATAGCCAATCCTCCAAGAGCTTACAGAGCTCTCCTTACAGGGGCTACTATAAGGCCTAGGATATGGTTCTATATGATATTAGGCGGGAGCTTCAGGCACAAGCTCCGTAGACACCAAGGTATTGTAAACCCGGCTGTCGGATTGGTCCCTATGCAAGACAGACCAATCCAGGGAGACTCTGATTCTGGCGGGAAAGAATCCCACTGGTCTCAAGCCGGCAAAGGTAATGTATTACATTCTTCCACTGTAATGCAGCAAGGATGCCTGAGCTTCTGACAAGGCTCGATAGAAGCCTGGTATTCTAAAGTGCACGTTCTGATTGGCTGCTTTGCACAGCGGGCCAATCAGAGTGTAGGGATGGTTTTGGAGGGAACAGCACCCACGGGCTGTTATGCACACACTAGAAATAAGGCCCGTTGTGGAAATAAATACAACGAGATCTAGAAAGAGGCTCTGGGAGAGTGCTCTGGCTTTGGGCAAACAGTGTCAGTCTGCTTTTAAAACATGAATCTGGGACCTGCACACCACCAGAATACAGCAGGTTCCATATGACACTGACATTCCAACTGCCTTGCGGGGGGGGGGAGTTTGAGGTGTGGAATGGAGTGAAGTCCAATCAGCTTCCATATGCAAAAGACCAGGTTGTCGCAGCAGTTGTGGTGTGGGCGGGACCCGGGCTTTGCCTTCTGATTGGTGGCGATATATGCTGAGGAGCAGTGCCATCAGCCATACACTAAGGGAGTGCATTTTAGAATTAGAACTTTGGCACCCACTATTCAATTATATATAAGGAGAGATTGGGACTGCTTGTTAGCTGTTTTGGGGGCGTGGCTTGGACCATTCAAATCGTATATAAGTCAGCTTGGGTTCTATGTCTTTTCGTCTTGAAGTCTCTGTCTAGTCTTGTGTGGTTATGAGCTGAATAAAGAAATCACTTGTTCGAGAAGCTGCCTCGATCTCAGCTCATAATATCGCGTCTCTGAGCTCAGGAAATTACCCCTAATGAGCCAGTCAGAGGGATGCTTTAGGGACACCTAACTGAGGACTACAATTCCCAGAGACAATTGCTCTTAAAGATACACGGCAGTTTTACTAAACTTACTATTACCTACAGCCAGGGCTCTTTTTGTAGAAAAAGCCCAGCAGGAACTCATTAGCATAATAGGCCACACCCAACACCAGAAACATATTAGCATATTAGGACACACCCCTGACAGCACAGCTCATTAGCACCCCCATGTTACCAGAAGTGTGGTCATCCAGCCACACCCACCTTTTGCTTGTTATTCTGTTTATCTTGTTTGTTGTCAAAACCCAGGGCTTTTCTTGTAGCAGGAACTCCTTTGCATGTTAGGCCACACACCCCTAATGTAGCCAATCCGAATGAGTTTCTGCTGTTGAGTGTGGCCTATTATGCTAATGAGTTCCTGCTGGGTGTGGCCAACTCGGGAGCCAGCCGGAACTCCGTTCCTGTGCGTTCCTGCCCAAAAATAGCCCTGCCTACAGCTAATGCTGACTGGGGACAGCACATCTGTCATCTGGAGATCAGTTGTAATTCCTAGGAGATCTCCAGGCCCCACCTGGAGCTCAGTAACCTTTAGGAATCTCTCAGCCTTGCCCACCATCCACGCTCACTGAAGTCCCCTCTGTACCGTTTCTTCCATCTGCCTGGGAAGTGCGTCCAGCGGCTTTCCCAGCAGAGCTCCTGGTCCTCTGCTCCCCCTGGGCACACCCAAGTCAAGCGCCTGCAGTGTTGCCACAGGGACCCGGCTTGGATCTGGCTGGTGGCAGCTCAGGCCCAGGTTGGATCTGGCTGGTGGCAGCTCAGGCCCAGCTTGGATCTGGCTGGTGGCAGCTCAAGCTGGGAAATTCCTGGAGACCTGGGGACCACACCACAGAGCCCACCCACCAAAGCATCCACCTTCTCCAGGGGAAGTGATCTCTGCAGTTCAAAGACCAGTTGTGATTCCGGCCCCACCCGGAGGTTTGCTGATCTACCGGGAGGGGAAGCCGGTCACCTCCCCTGAGGTGAGAGGCGTACAGGTAGGGCTGCCAGCTCAGGGTTGGGAAATCCCTGGAGATTTCGGGTAGGGTGGGGTTTGTGGAGGGGCCTCAACTAGGTCACTTACTTGGCACAGCGGGGGAGAGTTGGTCCCTACCTGGGACATTTGTGCGTGTGCAAAGCGCGCGCGTGCCGCGATGATGTCACCCGAAAGTGACGTTATCACGTTGGGCATGTTGCCGGCCGATGCGCTGGCAATTGGCCTGGAAACTCTATGGTACCATAGAGTTTTCAGGCGGATTGCTAGAGCGTCAGCTGGCGACGTGTTCCGGGTGACGGCATCGCACCGGGCATATCGGCCCGAACCGGGCACTTTGGGGGCGGGGATTCCCCCCGCCAGCCTGATCTGGACCAGCGAGTTAGGAGGCCCTTTGGGCGGGCAATCCCCCACCCCCCTTGGGGGACCTGGCAGCCCTCCAAAGCAGGCAATTTCTCCAGGGGGATAGATCTCTGCAGTCTGGAGATCAGCTATAATTGTGGGAGGTCGCCAGGTGCCCCCTGGAGGTTGGCATCCCTAGGTAGGAGTGATGCAAGCCCTGCCATGCCTGGCGTCCTCCTCATTGGCTGGACGCCCTCCTCCCCCTTCTTGGTCATTTCCTTTCCTGTCGTCCTATTGGCCCGTATTTTAAAGCAGCTGACTCTTGCCTTGTATGGTGAGTTGGGTCACGGTTTCCGAGTCGGGAACCTTGTCGTCGATATTTTTGGCAATGACCTTCTGTTCCTGGACTCCATCTGGGAAAAACAAAAGCAGGGAGATCATAAGGGACAGAGCCGCAACTGTGTCCACCAGTCTTTACAGGCGTGTCTTCGTTCAGGACATTAGCCAGTGTTTTCCTTGAGCCAGTGAGAAGTCCATGTGTGGATGGACCACTTCCCAAAGGGGCTGGAGATGGACAGGAGGATATCCTTAGAAGCAAGATTGACTTGGAATGGCATCAGTGTAGGACACTGAATGTCATCAAGTCATAGAATCATAGAATGTTAGAGCTGGAAGGGACCTTGCAGGTCATCTAGTCCAACCCCCGGCACTCTGCAGGAGCATAGCTGAAAGATAGCCCTACAGACCTACAACATCCCCGAAAGATGGTCGTCCAGCCTCTGCTTGAAAATGTCCAGTGAAGGAGCATCCACCCCCTCCTGAGGCAGTCTGTTCCACTGCTCACAATACAAGAACTCGTGGGGAACTCCAGGGGAACTGGCTGGCCCCTGTGTGAGACGGGATGCTGGACTAGAGGGACCCTCCCTGGTCTGACCCAGCAGGGCTCTTCTGGTGTCCTTCTCAGGGGAAGGCCTCGGCCTCCCTGCCCTGTTGCTGGCCCTCCAGAGGGACTGGCTGGCCCCTGTGTGAGACGGGAGGCTGGACTAGAGGGACCCTCCCTGATCTGACCCAGCAGGGCTCTTCTGGTGTCCTTCTCAGGGGAAGGCCTCGGCCTCCCTGCCCTGTTGCTGGCCCTCCAGAGGGACTGGCTGGCCCCTGTGTGAGACGGGAGGCTGGACTAGAGGGACCCTCCCTGATCTGACCCAGCAGGGCTCTTCTGAGGTCAGGACTGATCCAGCTGGGCTCTTCTGATGTTCCTATGAAGGCCTCGGCCTCTCTGCCCTGTTGCTGGCCCTCCAGAGGAACTCGCTGGCCCCTGTGTGAGACGGGGGGCTGGACTAGATGGACCCTCCCTGGTCTGACCCAGCAGGGCTCTTCTGAGGTCAGGACTGATCCAGCTGGGCTCTTCTGATGTTCCTATGAAGGCCTCGGCCTCTCTGCCCTGTTGCTGGCCCTCCAGAGGAACTCGCTGGCCCCTGTGTGAGACGGGGGGCTGGACTAGATGGACCCTCCCTGGTCTGACCCAGCAGGGCTCTTCTGAGGTCAGGACTGATCCAGCTGGGCTCTTCTGATGTTCCTATGAAGGCCTCGGCCTCTCTGCCCTGTTGCTGGCCCTCCAGAGGAACTCGCTGGCCCCTGTGTGAGACGGGGGGCTGGACTAGATGGACCCTCCCTGGTCTGACCCAGCAGGGCTCTTCTGAGGTCAGGACTGATCCAGCTGGGCTCTTCTGATGTTCCTATGAAGGCCTCGGCCTCTCTGCCCTGTTGCTGGCCCTCCAGAGGAACTCGCTGGCCCCTGTGTGAGACGGGGGGCTGGACTAGATGGACCCTCCCTGGTCTGACCCAGCAGGGCTCTTCTGGGGTTCTAAAAATTACAGATCTCTTCCTTTGGATTCTGTCCCACTTCCAGTCCCACAAACTAAATTTTGTTAAGCATCGGACTTAACAGGCACTATGCACACGGGAAGCCCATGGCATGAACACTGCACACTGGTACTCAAAATATCACACAGGGAAACAAACAAAGAATATGAATGACACTTGTCTTCTCATAACTGTACAGCCACCATGTGGATTTTCAGTTTCATAAGTGCAACTGGGCTGCAGGACAAAGTCCCCCACAGAGATAATCACAAGAGGAAAAGGCTAACTAGGGAGGGGAAGGCTGTGCCTGGGAAGCAGGAGCTCTTCATCTCCCCATCCCTAAAAGCAGATGTGTGTGCAAAGCACTGAAACACAGATTGCCTCCAGTTCTCCTCTTTGTAACATGGGGAAACTGGGTATGGGTTTAACAACCATCCTAAATGAAAGATATTAGTTATATGCCCCATAGAGAGGAACAAAGTAACTGTGCTCTATGACAAAAGGAGACCCTGCTGACCACAAACCTCCACAGGCATGTAAGCACCCAGCATGCACTTGAGAACACAGCCCACACAGCTAACTCTTAAAACTCTGTTCCACTCCTATCCACCACTAGCTAAGCATCTGTGGCCCATTAATCACTGTAGGATCAAAGCTGTGATCCATGGAACAAACAATAAATGCAGACACCATTTCAGTGCAATGTCCTTCATCAAATGGATAATATCGTCTTGATGACTTCATCATCTTCCTGACAAGTAAAGCTCAAAACATAGACATCAGGGAGTCTACCAGTAGAAGAGTACGACGTGGTTAGGTTATAGAGAATGGAGGGACACCTGAATGACAGCTCACTTTCTCAAGCACTTAACCACCAATTTCTAATGAATACTTTGCCACAGAACTCATCTGTTGATGCAGTTAGTTGTCTTTCTCCCCATATTTCTCTTCTCTCATGCAGCCTTCCAAAAAGCATAAAGGCAAGCATATTCTCTCTCTTGGGCCATGCAGACCAACAACGAGACCTGCAGAAACAGCAGTGACTACTGAGAAATCATCAGCTGTGGTCACCGTGGAAGCCTGTGGCAACTGAGAAAGCAGCAGGGACCTAGCTGGGGCTGCAGGCCAGCCGCCACAACAGTTGGGCTCTTGCAGGACTGGGGACTGAGGCCTTTCAAGGTTGTCAGAAGCTATATAAACTCCCTCATGCAAAGGCCAAGAAGGTTGGGTTAGTCCCTCTTTTCAAGCCAGTGACCCAGAGACACAAGGAAAAGAAGGGAGCAAGAGAAGAAGGACTTGGTGAGAAGGAACCCCCTTGCCCCCTTACCTGAAGAAGGCCTCAAGAAGGGGGAGGGATCAGTGAGCCATGTGCCCTTGAAGCGATGGAATGTATTATTTAGTCATTTACTTAAAACAGTTTTATGCTACCTTTCTACCCAATAAGGATCCCCAAGATGAGTTCGCCCCATCTCTCCCCCCCCCACTACCAGGGCCTTCGCCTAGAGTGCGAGCCGGCCGTTAGGGCACGGGAGGAGAGGCAGGGGCGGCACCGACAGCTGGCCAGCAGCTGGGAGGAGCTCTGCTGCCCGGCTGCAGGAGGAGGATGCGGGGTGGCGGCATGGGCAGGGCGCGGCGCTTTCCTCCTCCCTTCCAGCCGCCACCGCCACCTTCTCCGACCCAGCCGCCGCCGCCTTTCTTGGCCTCTCCTGCCTGGCTGCAGCAAGGGGGGAGGGACCCTTTCTCTGGCCCAGCCGCCGCAGCCGCCTTTTTCAGCCTCTCCTACCTGGCCAGCAGCTGGGAGGAGCGCGGCGGCTGGGAGGAGCTCTGCCACCCGGCTGCAGGAGGAGGAGGACGCGCGGCGGCGTGGGCAGGGCGCAGAGCTTTCCTCCTCCTCCCCCCTCAACCCCACAACCACCCTAATCCAGGTGGAGAGGCCCTGCTGGTGGGCAAGCGGGCAGGGTCCCCGGAGGCCTCTTCCGCTCGCTAAGGCCAGCTGGCCCCGGCGCCTTCACCCCCCCTCCCCCTCCCTCCGGGGTATTCTCCAGTCTCTGTGGGAACCGCTGGCGACAATGGGGGCGGGCCCGGGGGCACCTTCTCTGGCCTGGCCCGGGGGGAAGCTTCGCCCGCCTGCAGGGAGTGAGAGGTGCGCGGCACCATGGCCAACAGGTGTGGCGGGGGGGAGCGGGAGCGGGTCGTCTCCGGACTTGCACCAGCTCTCTGCCAGGCTGGAAGGCGCTCGTGGGGCTCGGGTGGACTGGGGCTACCCATCCCCAGACGCCTTCGGCCTCGCTCCCTCTCCCCTTGTGCGGTCCGTCCGTCCGTCGGCCCTCTGGGGCTCTGCTAGGCACGGCAGGCAGGGCCTCTCTTCTCCTTCTTCTCTTCCTCCTCCTTCCCTGGCAGCCGCAGCACTTATAGGCGGCGCGGGTGGCGCTGGTGGAGCTCCTGGAAACAGAGCTCCGGCCCAGCCGCTGCCTTTCTCGGCCTCTCCTGCTCGGCTGCAACGGGGGGGAGGGGCGCACCAGGGATGCGCAGACCCAGACCCCACACACACACACCGCCCGCCACGGGGAAAGGACGCCCAGAGCGCCCCGGCGGGAGGTTGGCATCTGTGCTCGCCTAGAGCGCAGCATAACCTCATGATGGCTCTGGATGGACCTCTGCTCCATATGCTTATCCAAGTCCCTCTTATAAGAACACAAGAGAAGCCCATGTTGGATCAGGCCAATGGCCCATCCAGTCCAACACTCTGTCACACAGTGGCCAGAAATACCAGGTGCCCTCAAGAGGTCCAGCAGTGGGGCCAGGACACCAGAAGCCCCTCCCACTGTTGCCCCCCCTCCCAAGCACCAAGTATACAGAGAATCATTTGCCCCAGACCGAGAGTTCCCATTTACACCTTGTGGCTGATAGCCACTGATGGACCTCTGCTCCATACATTTATCCAATTCCCTCTTATAAGAACATCAGAGAAGCCAGTGGCCCATGCAGTCCAACACTCTGTGTCACACAGTGGCCAAAAGTACCAGGTGCCCTCAGGAGGTACGTGCAGTGGGGCCAGGAGGACACTAGAAGCCCTCCCACTGTTCCCCCCCCCAGACACCCAGAATACAGAGCATCCCTTGCCCCAGACTGAGAGTCCCTATCTATACCTTCTGGCTAATAGCCACTGATGGACCTCTGCTCCATATGCTTATCTAATTCCCTCTTATAAGAACATAAGAGAGAAGCCAATGTTGGATCAGGCCAATGGTCCATCCAGTCCAGCACTCTGTGTCACACAGTGGCCAAAAACACCAGGGGCCATCAGGAGGTCCAGCAATGGGGCCAGCAGTGGAAGGAGAGCAGAAAGGTCCAGCGGCAGGCAAAGGACATTCTGAAGACCTCAGCCTTATAAAGTTTGGGTTCGGAGCGGCAGACAGAATTCAGTAGCCTTACACGTTCATGTCTAACAACTCCCATCAGAGATTTCCCAAAGAAAAGCCTATCCACATTGCCTTGAAGCGTTCAAGCGAAGTGAGTGACGAGACTGGATGCTGAGACAGATCTTCACTTCCCCCCCACCCCCCAAAAAAAAGTCCAAAAAGAAGTGCTAAAGAAGGGAGCTGTCACTCACCGACTCCTTTCGTAGGGGGATCTAACTCAATGACCGTGGTAAGCTTCTGCAGCATCCCTTCAGGCTGGTAGGGAAGAAAGAGCAGGAACCATCTTTCACCAGGATCTCCCCATAGCTAAGTCTTGACACAGGAGCAGTGAGAGACTCAAAATAGCAACGGGGAAATACAGGCCAAGAGCATCCGATCTCGTTTCTGGTGCAAATGGTGCAGCTACATCAGGGGTCCTCAACGTGGTGCCCGTGGGCGCCATGGTGCCCAGTGCCCACCAACACCTTTCCTGCTGCCCACCTGGTATTTTGAGAAAATAGATGGGGCCTAGGGTTGCCAACCTCCAGGTGGGGCCTGGGGATCTCCCGCTTTTTCAACTGATCTCCAGCTGACAGAGACCAACTCCCCTGGAGAAAATGGCTGCTTTGAAGGGTGGACTCTCTGGCCTTCTACTCTGCTGAGGCCCCTCCCCTCCCCAAACCCCGCCCTCTCCCGGCTCCACCCCCAAAGTCTCCAGGTGATTCCCAACCCAGACCTGGCAACCCTTATGGGACCGGGAGGGGCTTTTGCCCAGCAAGGCTTCCGGTGGGCCTCTGGATATTTGATTAGCAGTGCAGATTCTTTAAAATGTTGCTTTGGCAGCAGCTGCCACTGCAGCACGAGGATCTTCACTGTGAGACTGAAGGTCAGTTGGGGCAGCCATTTTGTGGCTGCCTCCATCTCCTGCAGCAGCCATTTCGTGGCAGCCATTTTTGTGGCAGCCATTTTGTGGCAGCCATTTTTGTGGCTGCACCCACCCTGCTGTGTCAGAATTCCAAAGGTGCCCACAGGGTCAAAAGGCTTGGGGACCCCTGAGTTACATGGTTCAGTTAATGCTTGAACACAACATGGGAGGAAGTATTAATCAGCTCCAAGGATTCCCATGAGCTTCAGGCCCTCCCGGTTAGGACCTGGTGCGCCCACATCCATAAGAGGCTCCTCAGTCGCCCCGGGTGGCTCTGTAGAACCAGGCCTAGGCGCTCCGGAAGTCAACGCTTCAGTTTACAGTGAAGCTGACCTTGGTTTTTACAAAGAAAGGGCCGAACAAGCTGACAATAGGGCTGCAAGCCTCTTGTTGGGGCCTCGGGATTTCCCACAATCACACCTGATCTCCAGACTTCTCCCCGGGAGAAAATGGCTGCTTTGGAAGGTGGACTCTAAGCCAGTGTACCTGGTTGGGGACTCTCCCCTCCTCAAAACCCTGTCTTCCCCCGGGCTCCACCCCCCCAAAAAATCTCCAGGCGTTTCCCGCTCCAGAGCTGGCAACCCTAAGTGACAATTGACTACCAAAGGCCCCGGTCACACGGGAGGATTTGCCCTGCGAAACGGACGGGTTGAGAGCGCATCAAACAGGCGCGATCCTACCACAAAATCTGGGAAGCGTCACGCACCCGTCCCCGATCCGTCCCTTCGGCCCGAAAACGCGCATTGAAAAGGTACCGGCAACAGAGCACTACCTTCCGGATGACGCGCGGCAACTCCAGGCGTCTGATTGGGGAAGCGCTGGAAACCCGTCACGGCCAGCGCTGTTCCCCGTCCCACGCATGCGCACAAACGTGCAACATCCGTTTTGCCGCACTATGTCTGATCTCCTGCCGAAGGCCAGAGCACAGAGCCACGGGGGCGCGTTGGATCGCGCTACCACGTTTCTTTTTGCTCCGGCTCTAATTTGCCTCCCTTCAGCGGCGCAGTATCCCGCTCGTGTGACCGGGACCACCGATATCCAAGACACAGTAACAGCTCTTGAGGTGAGATCTCCATGGTCTGAAGCCCCAGGATCAGCACAAACCTGCCCCGGAGATACCCTGAGGGAACTGGGGCCCAGTGGAGTGGCGTTAAACAAGTATGAGAGGATGGAGCCCAAGTGAGCTGGCATACCAAGCTACTAAACTCCGGCCTGTCACACCAATCAAAGAAGCTTGTCTGGTGGACACATGAGACAGGGCCTTTTTAGTGGCAGCCCACAAATATGGAACAACCTCCCCGGGGAGGTGCACCCGGCCCCCCACTTCCGATCTTCAGGAGGCCAATATAAGATGGTTTTATTTAGGACTGAATTTGATTTATTTATAGTGTAATCCTAAAGGGGACTCATGGAACTGGCTGACCTTTATGCCGGCATATTTTGGAGAAGGGTTTGAAAGAACACAAACAGCTTGACCTTTACTGAAGCTATAAGGCAGAGACAAACTTTAAGGAAGAGAGAAGGAAAAGGAAGATACTGCTAAATGTAATTTCCGTGAGATTACTCTGTGTTTTCTCCTCTTGCTTGTTAAGTTGGTGTTGTTGGGTCTAAAATGCGAGACATTGTTTAAGCATGAAGTGTTCTTTCAGTTAAGTCAACAATTGATAAAGATCTGCCTAGCGGGTGCAAATCTATAAACACTAGAGGGCTGTGATATTGTGAACAGTTAGATAAAACTTTTGCTTTTGCTTTGAGAGTGATTACAAGGTTTAAACAAAATAAGAGAACTTTTACTGGGGAAAAAGGAGGGGTGATTCTCTGTGGTGTGCTAAAATACTTAAAACATGGCTAGTGGATCCAGAAGATTCTCTGTTCCTTCTCCAGGACAAGTGAAATCTGTGGCAACTAATCTGGCTCAGATTACCATCAAGGATTTACAGAGCCTCATCCAGGAGACTGTCTCGTCAGCTGTGAACTTGGCAGTTGAAGCTGCTGTACCATCTGCAGTTGGTGCTGCTGTAGAACCAATTCAAGCAAAATTGGACTCTCTTGCCCAGCAGATGACTACCCAAACGGAAGAAATTAAAAAGCAGATTTTTAGATAATAAATAAGAGATCTCCACCTTGGTGAAGATGACAAACAAGCTGGAAAATAAGTCTTAAGAAGTAGATCTTCAAATACAGGCCATAAAGACAAAGCAGGATTCTATGGAAGATACATTGATAAAATTGGAGATAGAAAAAGCAGTTTACATTTTAAGATTTCAGAATATTCCTGAAAAGAAGGATGAAGACATCAAAACGGATAAGGCCCATATTCTAGCAAAATATATGGAAGCAGAAAGTACAAAAGTAGTATATGATGAAATTGATGTGGTTTTTAGAATGAATTCTGCATATGCAAGAAGAAATAAATTAACCAGAGAAGTGCATGTTAGATTCTACAAGAGAACAATGAGAGACAAGATCCTAAAAGCATCAAATGAAACACCTCTTCAAATAGAGGGAAAAGAAATTAAAATATTAAAAGAAGAAAAAAAGACAAGACTATACATGCCTCGCAAGCCTTTTAAGGAAAAATGGAATCCCTTACAGATGGCTACTCCCTGAAGGTATTCTTTTCACTTATGACGGTAAAAGACACAGAATTAATTCAATCTTTAAAATAGAAGACTTTCTTAACACATACGAAGAAGACTTAGAAACCCAAGAGGAAGAATCAAAGGAGACAGATGAAGAAGAGACAGTGGCTTCCCCTTTTGTTTTGGAACCCTTGAGGGAGCAGACTAGTAGTGCCATGGTTAGACCCATGGCCAGCCGCTGCTGTGGCCCTTAGGATTGGACTGCCCATTTTAAAAGGTGGAGATTCTAAACAGGTGGGATGCACTCATTAACAGAATTTTCTAAACACCGGCTCATTTCCGCCTTTAAGAACATAAGAACATAAGAGACGCCAATGTGGGATCAGGCCAAAGGCCCATCCAGTCCAACACTCTGTGTCACACAGTGGCCAGAAAAACCAGTGCCATCAGGAGGTCCACCAGTGGGGCCAGGACATTAGAAGCCCTCCCACTGTTGACCCCCCCAAGCACCAAAAAGACAGAGCATCACTTGCCCCAGAGCCCCTATCTATACCTTGTGGCTAATAGCCACTGATGGACCTCTGCTCCATATGCTTATCTAATTCCCTTTTGAAGCCGTCCATGCTTGTAGCCGCCACCACTTCCTGTGGCAGTGAATTCCAAGTGTTAATCACTCTTTGGGTGAAGAAGTACTTCCTTTTATCCGTTCTAACCTGACTGCTCTGCAGTTTCATGGAGTGCCCATGAGTTCTTGTATTGTGAGAAAGGGAGAAAAGTACCTCTTTCTCTACCTGCTCTTTCCCATGCATAATCTTATAAACCTCGATCATGTCACCCCTCAGTCATCTTTTCTCCAAGCTAAAGAGCCCTAAGCGCTTTAACCTTTCCTCATAGGGAAAGTGTTCCAACCCTTTTATCATTCGAGTTGCCCTTTTCTGCACTTTTTCCAAAGCTAAAATATCCTTTTTAAGGTGTGGTGACCAGAACTGCACACAGTATTCCAAATGAGGTCTCACCATTGATTTATATAGGGGCATTATGATATTGGCTGATCTGTTTTCAATACCCTTCCTAATAATCCCCAGCATAGCATTGGCCTTCTTTATTGCAGTCACAAACTGTCTCGACATTTTCAGTGAGTTATCTACTACAACTCCAAGATCTCTCTCTTGATCAGTCTCAGTTCAGACCCCATCAATGTGTATTTATATTTAGGATTTTTGGCTCCAATGTGCATCACCTTGCACTTGGCCACATTGAACCCCATTTGCCATGTTGACGCCCACTCGCCCATCCTTGACAGATCCCTTTGGAGTGCCTCACAATCCTCACTGGTTTTCACCACCCTGAACAACTTTGTATCATCCGCAAATTTAGCCACTTCACTGCTTACTCCCATCTCTAAATCATTAATGAACAAGTTAAAAAGCAGTGGACCAAGCACTGATCCCTGCGGTACCCCACTGCTTACCACCGTCCACTGAGAAAATTGCCCATTTATACTCACTCTCTGTTTTCTATGAATTAGCCAGTTTTTGATCCATAAAAGGACTTGTCCTTCTATCCCATGATTTTTGAGCTTACTTAGGAGCCTTTGATGAGGAACTTTATCAAAAGCTTTCTTTCTCCAAGAGGCATCGGAGGCCCCGACTTCATACATACCACAACTTTCAGCTTCTTCTTGACACCATCTGACACATACTGGCCCCAGACAGCTGCTTTGACCTCAATGTCGTGGAGTCCCCGCTGGAGAGGGACAATCACGAACGGCACCGCCTTGGAGGACAGGCCTTTGATGGAGAAAATCTGACTGTATCTTCGCTTGGCGGTGGAAGCGCTGCAGAAAGCCGGGTTGTGGACCAGCTCTACCCGCACCTGCCGAGAAAGAGGGGGAAAGGATGCCTTGAAAATGTATTTCTGAACAAGGGAAAAAATTGCACTTCCAGGCGTATGGGGAGTGACACCCGTGTGCATTGGGAAGCTGATAGCATCCCCCCATCCCATTTGCCACCATTTTCTCCCCTGCCAAGCAGGTAAATGGCAGCAGAGAAAAGCTCACTGGGCACAGGGCATCCCCCCCCACCAAAGTTGGTATGCCTACAGTTTGGGTAACTGGCCTGCCCAGCCTTAGATCTCTTCCCATCAGGCCTGTAGCTATGGTGGGAGTTTGGGGGGCTCCACCCCCTTTCTTAAAGGCACAGCCCCACAAGAATTTCTTCTGTAAATGTTTTTTTCAATCATTTTAAAAACAATTTAAAAGGCATGTGCTTCTTTAAGCAGAGTGGGGTGCTGTACTTGACGAATTCCCACACTGAGCAAGGGGGTTGGAGTAGGTGACCTCTAGGATCCCTTCTAACTCTAACTGGTCTTCTTTAAGAGAGTTTTTCTGTCTAAGTGTTAGCTTTCTTGACTACAGAAGTCATCACCCCCCACCTGCCAGCTTGTTATCGGAATTGTTGGTTAGGCTGGCAGAAGTGATTCACTTGCAGCAGCTGAGAACTGTCATCTAAACTGGCTGACGGCTTGCAATTTAGAGGTCTATCCTAGTCACAGCTTTCTATTGGCTAAACAGCTTTTCTTTCTGCATTGAGAACTTCAGCCCAACCAGAAAAAAAAATTGTCCCACAAGCCACAAAATCCTGGCTACGGCCTGCTTCCCATGGCGTCGGCAGACTTGAACACCCATCCACCCGCCGCAGACACACATGCATAGCATTTATATTAGTGCATGACCAGTCTCGCAGCTGCCACCGCACAGTGGCTAAGAGACAGAACTACAAATCAGGAAAGTCTCGATTCAAATATTGTCTTTGCTACAAACTCAGTTGGGTGACCTGAGGTAGACTAGGCTCTTCCTTTCCCCGCAACATATATACAGTGGGGTCAATTACAATCATTTAAAGCCCGACATGGTTTGGGACTGAGGAATGACGATCACAATGAGAGGCCCTCCTGGCTGTCCCACCAATCAAAGAAGCTCATTTGGTGGGTACAGAAGGCAGGGTGTTTTTGGTGGCAGCCCCATGATTATAGAACAATCATCCCAGGCATGTGCATTTGGCCCCCTCACTCTTAATCTTTAGGAGGCAGCTGAAGATGGTTTTATCTAGGACTGCATTTGATTAGAGCAGTCCTGTGGCTCAAGTGGTTAAGACGCTGAACTGCAGATCAAAAGGTCGGTAGTTCAGCAGTTCAAGACCCGAGTGCTGCATGACGGAGTGAGCTCCCGTCTTTGGCCCCAGCTCCTGCCAGCCTAGCAGTTTGAAAGCAAAAAACTGCAAGTAGATAAATAGGTACCACTTCGGTGGGAAGGGAACAGCGTTCCGTGTGCCTCGGCGTCTAGTCATGTCGGCCACATGACCACGGAAATGTCTTCGGACAGCGCTGGCTCTTTGCCTCGGAAATGGAGATGAGCGCCGCATCCCGAAAGTCGGATTCGACTGGCTTTCGAGCAAGGGAAACCTTTACGTTTTTTAATTGTCATTTGGTGTATTTTTAATGTGCTCTTCTGTACGTGTTTTATTTATCGCGTTAAGCCGCTTTGAGCACCATAAGGAAGGAGAGAGGCTAATAAATGTTTTAAAGTAAATGAACAAATAAAACAGATCCCCTTCACGGAGCTGTTTTAATGCAAGATAATGTATGTGGAGCATTCTGCCACCGCCGCCACCCCCCCGCTAAAATCCCAAAGCTCACCGTGATGTCTTCCTCCCGATAGTTGTAGAGGACAGCCCGGATCTCCACCTGCTCGTTTCTCACCACCGAGTAAGGCACACGCAGGTCGATGAAGAAGTCCTTCCTCACGATGATCTCATAAGGGTCAGCCACGCAGACCCCTGGAACGAGGGGGGAAAGGAAGAAACAGGGTTACGCCTCAACTACCCCTTTTGCCTCCTCCACTTTTCCCAAGGCAGGGGACCCCCCACCAATGTTCCCTCTAGGCTGTGGAGTCTTGTGAGCAAAAATTCTACTTTGTGAGCTACCGGCATTAAAGTTGTGAGCAAACAGTTTGGCTACTGCATCCATCAGTTTGCTTGGGAGCCCTCCTTCCTGAGCGAAGGCAAAAATGTGTGAGCCGGAGGCTAAAGAACTGTGAGCCAGCTCACACTCACTCAGCTTAGAGGGAACACTGCCCCCCACCCCCAGCCTTTTACCGCCTGTGGGCACCTTTGGAATTCTGATGCAGCATGGCGGGCACCGGCCACAAAATGGACGCCACATGAGGCGGAACCAGCCACAAAATGGCTGCCGCCACAGCTTACTTTCGGTCACACTGTGAAGATCCTCGTGCTGTGGAGGCGGCTGCCGCCAAAGCAGCAATGTTAAAACTCTGCACAGCCAATCAAGTCTCCAGTGGCCGATCGCAAGCTTTGCTGGGCAAAAGTGCCACCTGCCTCACCATCATTTGCTCAGGTCCCCCCCCCCAATCCGCTGCCTGCCGTACAGGATTCCTTACCTTTAGTCTCCGAAATGCTCACGGCCAGCACTTCCCAGGTCGTGATGGAATCTTTCAGGAAAACGGACACTGTCTTGGATGAGAGCCTAGATAACAAAGAGAAGGCGCCGCGTCAGACCCATCCAAAGCACAAAGGTGGACCAGAGATGCCGTCTCGAGCCGGATTGAGAGAGGAAGCTGCTGCAGAAAAGGGGGGTGGGCGGACAGATGCACGATTCCCCCTCCCCTCGGGTAACACCAATGTTCCCTCTAAGCTGTGGAGTCCTGTGAGCAAAAATCCTACTTTGTGAGCTACTGGCATTAAAGTTGTGAGCGAGCAATTTGGCTGCCACATAAATTAGTTTGCTCCGGAGCCCTCCTTCCTGAGCGGAGACGAAAATGTGTGAGCCGGAGGCTAAGAAAACTGTGAGCTAGCTCACACTAACTCAGCTTAGAGGGAACACTGGGTAACACCTGGAACAACTGGTCCCGATTCTGATGGCACAGTGCTGCAGGTTTCCCTGCCCCCCATACCCCCCTGCAAGCACCACCCGGGAATGTGAAGTAGAAGCGTGAAATGCACAGCTCTGTGGTATCAGAGTTTTCTCACGTCCCAGGGGGAAAAGGCACAAGGGCTGGTTGTCAGCAGTGGTGGAACATTCCAGCCTGACTCCACTTGTTTCAGAGAGAGCCTTTCTGCAAGTGGTTGGTGGCTTGGTTGGCTTTGGAGAATTATGGTTACCCTAAAGACAGCAAGCCAGTGAAGTAATAAAACAGAAGGGCAGGAGCCCACAACCCTTTTGCCCACAACCCCGATGCCAACCTTTCCATGCATCTAAGCAGGGGTCATTTCCTGCGGGAGCGCACAGCAGCGGAGCTCCGGCAGTAAGGAGCCCAGGGGGCGGGCACATGCAACAAGCCCCGCCCCCTGCTCCCAGCAGCCCTCAGTTGGGCCAAGAGGAGCAAGAAGCAGCCAGGTAAGTTGCAGAGCCCCCCCCCCCAGCCCACCTTCAGGGACAAGCTCTCCCTCCTCTGTGAGGGCAGATCTGCATGTTCCCTCCATAGCTAGCAATCCAAAACAGTCCAGTGGCACCTTTAAGCAAGTTTTATTCAGGTACAAGCTCTCCCTCCTCTGTGAGGACAGATCTGCATGTTCCCCCCATAACTAGCAATCCAAAACAGTCCAGGGGCACCTTTAAGCAAGTTTTATTCAGGTACAAGCTCTCCCTCCTCTGTGAGGACAGATCTGCACGTTCCTCCCATAACTAGCAATCCAAAACAGTCCAGGGGCACCTTTAAGCAAGTTTTATTCAGGTACAAGCTCTCCCTCCTCTGTGAGGACAGATCTGCACGTTCCTCCCCCCCCCCCCATAACTACAAGCAATCCAAAACAGTCCAGTGGGGCCTGAGCAGTGGGTGTTGCCTTCTGACACACTTCCGATGATGTCAGGGGGTGTGGCATATGCAAATAAGTTGTGCTAATAAGTTATGCTAATGAGCTCCTGCACCTCTTTTTCTACGAAATGACCCCTGGAGGGAATGCAACAGGGTGTAGTGCCACAGGATTCACCCTCCACAGCAGCCATTGTCTCCAAGGGATCTCTGCAGTCTGGAGATCTGCTCTAATTCCAGGAGAGCTCCAGACCCCACCTGGAGTTTGGCAACCCAAATTCATACGACATATGAATTGCGGGTGGCAGCTGGCTCAGAGGGCTTTCCAACAGGATTAAAGAAATACACAGAGGCTAAACAGAACTTCCATGCCAGGCAGCAGTCGACTTCTGACCTAGTCAAAAGCCTAGACCTTTAGGCCCCCAACCCATGTCATGGAATGGGAGCCACCAGGGGTCATTTCCTGCGGGAGCACACAGGAGCGGAGCTCCGGCAGTAAGGAGCCCAGGGGGCGGGCACATGCAACAAGCCCCGCCCCCTGCTCCCAGCAGCCCTCAGTCGGGCCACGAGGAGCAAGAAGCAGCCAGGTAAGTTGCAGAGCCCCCCCTCACCTTCAGGTACAAGCTCTCCCTCCTCTGCAAGGACAGAACTGCGTGCTCCTCCCTCCATAGCTAGCAATCCAAAACAGTCCAGTGGAGCCTGAGCGGTGGGTGTTGCCTTCTGACACACTTCCGGTGATGTCAGGGGGTGTGGCACATGCAAATAAGTTATGCAAATGCATTATGCTAATGAGCTCCTGCACCTCTTTTTCTACGAAATGACCCCTGGGAGCCACCATCCAGAAGGCCCAGGCTTGGGCTATTGCTACTGGATGGGAAGGAGAGGGAGAGTTGGTTTTTATACCCCACCCTTCACTACCCGAAGGAGTCTCAGAGCAGCTTACAATCGCCTTCCCTCCCTCTCCCCACAACAGACACCCTGTGAGGTAGGTGGGGCTGAGAGAGCTCTGAGAGGACTGTGACTGGCCCAAGGTCACCCAGCTGGCTTCGTGTGGAGGAGCGGGGAATCATACCCGGTTCTCCAGATTAGAGTTTGGCGCTCTTAACCACTACACTAAACTGGCTGTAACTGACAGTCTAATTGGAGGGCACAGTGGGAACTTCTTGAATGGTACCTCAGCTGATATGGGGAAGAATATGTGGGCGCCGACTCAAACGATTTTATATGTAAGAACAAGCATCTTGTTTGGCTCTTTGACAAATTGGAGGCTGAATCTGCAGATTTCTATTGTTTTCTTTGTCGCGTTTATCTGCTATAGCCTTCCCCAAAGAATCCTGGGAACTGGAGTATGAGGTAGACTGAGTGTCGAAACGTCTTTACAAAGTCTCTCTCCCCCCCCAGCCTGCCCCCAATCCCACCTTCCTGTTTGGAGAGGGAATGACAGTGGGACCACTTTCAATGACACAACAATGCTGCAATGTAGAAGACAATAGGCAGGTACCCCTGTTCGTTTGGAGGTGCAGTCAGACGTTCCACTTGCCACAACCAACTCTCAGGAAACTCGGTTCTGGAGACAATCTCGTCATCAGCTAAGAAACCATCATCGACGTCACCTGGGAAATCAAGAGACACCAGCTTAGCCAGGAGGCGGGGGGCAGCTTGTTTTCTCAAGGCTGCGGAGGGATTGGTAAAAATATTGATGCATTTGGAGCTAGAACAGTGTTGTTTTCTCAAGGCGGGGGAGGGACCGGCTAAAATGTTAACGTATTTGGGGGTTATATCATCTCTCCATGCACGGCTGGCGATTCTAGAGATCTAACGTGGAAGGAATCTGGTGGCTTCTTGTACTCAGAACACCATGGAGATTGCCAGCACAGGGATCTCAAGCGTCTGCAGATGGTTTGCATTTTGGCGTGCTCTGAGTTGGCACTCCATGCCTCCCATATACTGTCAATGTGCAAAAGCGCAGGCCTAGACTTAGACAATGCCGGATCGCAGTTCCCCCGGGTGAGGTGCGAGGGGCGGGGCACACAACGAAGCCCCGCCCCTTGCTTCCAGCCACCCCGCTTCCAGCCCTCATTCAGCCAGGAGGAGGCAGGAGAAGGGGGAGGGTAAGTTGCTTCCTCCTCGCCTCTCCCCACGCCTGCCTGGGGCCAGGGAGGGCCTTGGCGGGGCTTCCTCGCACTCCCGCCGGCATTGCAGGTCCGCCGCCGGGCCCCTGATGTCAGGGTGTGTGGCATATGCTAATGAGTTATGCTAATGAGTTCCCCTAGCTCTTTTTCTACGAAACGAACCCTGCTCCCCCAGACTCTTACCTGTTCCCTGAAGATAGTTCCAGGTGGTCAGCCATGTTGGTCTGAAGCAGTAGAACAAATTTAGAGTCCAGTCGGGCACCTTGAAGACCAACAAAGCTCATACCTTGAATAAACCTTTGGTTGGTCTTGAAGGTGCCACTGAACTCTAAATTTGTTCTCCTGTTCCCTGAAGTTTTCGGCTTCACCCCTTAGCCCTTGCAACAACTGCTGTATTGACCAGTGTCCACCACACAGGTAACCAGCGTTCCCTCTAAACTGAGTCAGCGTGAGCTGGCTCACAGTTTTTTAGCCTCCAGCTCAGACATTTTTTTTCTTTGCTCAGGAAGGGCGGCTCCGGAGCAAACTACTTGATGCAGCAGCCAAATGGCTCGCTTGCAACTTGAATGCCAGTAGCTCACAAAGTAGAATTTTTGCTCACAAGACTCCGCAGCTTAGAGGGAGCATTGCAGATAATTTGTATAAGATGTTCAGCTTTGGGAAACAAATGGTTAATATGAACTCTGCTGCTACTCAGAGGTTACCCTAAAACAGATGGGAACTGGCCCGTCTGAACAAACTTCGTTTAGTATGTCACGTGGGTTGAGTGGACTGGCCTCAAAGTCAAAATGCCCCTCCTGACTCATGTCCTCCTTGGAACCTTCTGGAAGAAGACCAGAAGGATAGGATCTGAGGCAAACAAAAGGAGGAGGGATTTCTCTATCTGAGGCCACACTGAGCAATAAAAGTTACATTACACAGATACCTTACAAGGTGCATTACAATAAAAAAAATTACTTTTTTCAAAAGTAAATGCCCCTTGTAAGGTATTATTTATTTATTTATTTATTTATTTCGATTTATATCCCGCCTTGCCTGACAAGCAGGCTCAAGGCGGCGTACAGTGAGTTAAAATCACAATAAAGCACAGATAAAATTCAACAACAATACATAAAGTGCAGATTAAGTACAATAGCAAACTGTGGAGGGCAATCATTGTAAGATGGTCCACTATGACTAGACCAGTATCCAGTGTTCCCTCTAAGCTGAGTGAGTGTGAGCTAGCTCACGGTTTTTTAGCCGCTGGCTCACTCATTTTTGTCATAGCTCAGGAAGGAGGGCTCCAGAGCCAACTGATTTATACAGTAGCCCAATCGCTCGTTCACTGCTTTAATGCCAGTAGCTCACAATGTAGAATTTCTGCTCACAAGACTCCACATCTTAAAGGGGACATTGCCAGTATCCCCAGTAGAGTTCCAGTAGCAAGCGGGCCGTAATAGATGGCTTCAGTCGCTTGTTCCTCCGTGGCGGCTCCTAAGCGAAAGCCTGGTGGAAGAGCTCCATCTTACAGGCCCCTGCATATCTGTGTAATATAAACTTGATTGCTCAGTGTGGATTGAAGCTGTTTGTTTAACCAACATGTGCACGGAGACGTCTTAGTAACTGCGCCATGGTTTTGTTTTGGTTTCTTTATCTACTTTCCGTGATTCTCTCATTTTGGTTTATCCTCCATGGGAGGCCTGGAGATCTCCCGGCACTACGACTGGTCCCCAGGCGACAGAGGTCCGTTGCTCTGGACAAAACGGCAGCTTCAAAGGGCGCAGGGCTGCCAGGCCCCCATCACCCCCTGCAGCTGATCCGCTGGCCAGAGGGGGGATTTGCCAGCAGCGGGGGAAGGCCCAGGCTGACTTGGCAGTGGTGTTGCCAGCCACATGGCAAGGTGACTTCCAGTACACACCGGAAGTGATGACATCATGTAGCTAGTAACGTGGGATGCACTGGTATTTGGGCAAAAATTCTATGAGGAGAAGGAGAAGTGGGAGGGCTTCTAATGTCCTGGCCCCACCGGTGGACCTCCTGATGCCACTGGTATTTCTGGCCCCTGTGTGACCCAGAGTGTTGGACTGAATGGGCCTTTGGCCTGATCCAACATTGGCGTCTCTTATGTTCTTATGTTCTTAAGAAGAAGAAGAGAAAGAGGAAGAGGAAGAAGAAGAGGCAGAAGAGGAGGAAGAAGAGGAAGAAGAAGAGGAAGAGGAAGAGGAAGAAGAAGAGGAGGAGGAGGAGATTGGATTTATACCCCATGGCCCTTCACTACCCAAAGGAATCTCAGAGAGGCTTACAGTCTCCTTTCCCTTCCCCTCCCCACAACAGACAAAGGTGTCCACCATAGAGTTTTTGCCCAGATACCAGAGCATCCTGCGTTGCTGGTGAAGTGATGACATCAGTTCCAGTGCACAAGGGAAGTGACATCACACTGTTGCCAGCCACGGCACTGTGATTCAGGATTAGACCTTCCCCTGCTGCCAGTAAACCCTCCTCCCCCAGCCAGTTGCCTGGCAGCACACTGGCATCATACGCCCGCTGAGCTCCCGCTCCAAACTCCGCCCTCCCCGGGCACCACTGCCAGGTCTCCAGGAATTTCCCAAACAGGAGTTGGCAGCCCTGCCTGGGTATATTGACACCACAGTACAGGCTCAGTCCCTTAGAAATGGCCCCATCTTCAGCACCAGGGGAGGCGAGCGGCCTCTGAAATCCCTGGGACCCTCCCGTGGTGCTTGGAGAGAGAGGTCTGCTTGACAAGAAGACGGAAAGCGGTGGCCGGACCCAAGCCCCTATTTCTGCAGGGGGTGCGGAACCGGGCTGGAGAGGTGAGCCCCTCAAAAATGGCTACCCACTTTGGATGTGGCCAGCTGGGTAAATTCCTCGTTGCCCAGACAGGTGGGCAGATACCTACGCAGGACCCTTTCTCCCCAGCGGAGTGTGTGTGCGGCTCTATCCCTTGTCTTTTATTTATTTTTATCCTCCCGTGTCTTTTATTACCCCATATCTTTAATTTTTTTATTTTATTTATTTTTATTCTATTGGATTTATATCCCGCCCTCCCCGCGGATGGGCTCAGGGCGGCTCGCAATTAACGGTGCCATGTGCCAAGATAAAACAATTAAAAACAAGATAAAACAGTCCTACATTAAAAAGGTAAAGGTTCCCCTTGCTCGAAAGCCAGTCGAGTCCGACTCTAGGGTTGCGGTGCTCATCTCCGTTTCCAAGCCAAAGAGCCAGCACTGTCCGAAGACCTTTCCGTGGTCAGGTGGCTGGCATGACTAAACGCCGAGGCGCACGGAACGCTGTTCCCTTCCCACCGAAGTGGTACCTATTTATCTACTTGCCATTTCTTGCTTTCGAACTGCTAGGTTGGCAGGAGCTGGAACTAGAGGCAGGAACTCACTCTGTCACGCGGCAACTCGGGTCTCGAACTGCTGAACTACCGACCTTCCACAGCCTGCAGTTCAGCGTCTTAACCACTTGAGCCACCGCAGCTCCTTGTTTGGTGTAAATTAAGGGTAAAGGTTCCCTTGCTCGAAAGCCAGTCAAATCCGACTCTAGGGTTGCGGTGCTCATCTTCGTTTCAAAGCCGAAGAGCCAGCGTTGTCTGAAGATGTTTCCGTGGTCATGTGGCCGACATGACTAAACACCGAGGTGCATGGAATGCTGTTACTTTCCCACCGAAGCGGTACCTATTTATCTACTTGCAATTTCTTGCTTTCGAACTGCTAGGTTGGCAGGAGCTGGAACTAGAGGCGGCGAGCTTATCCGCGACTCTGCAACTCGGGTCTCAAACTGCCGAACTACCGACCTTCCACAGCCTGCAGCTCAGCGTCTTAACCACTTGAGCCACCGCAGCTCCTACAGTCCTACATTACATACACTTAAATGCAATTAATACAATAAAGTGCTCGTAGTGATGATAACTGTTTGTTCGGTTTGAGGTGGCGTGTAAACAGATGTAATACTAGGGCCCCGCTTTGGTGATACTGCGGCCTCCCGCGATCTCTTAAAGGGCCGACCCACCACCATGTAGTTGATGACAGTAGTGGTAGATAGTAATGGTAGTGCTGGTGGGCAGTGGGTGGTGGGCGGCTCCTAACTGAAAGCCTGGCGGAAGAGCTCCGTCTTGCAGGCCCTGCAGAATTGTACTAAGTCCCGCAGGGCCCTGAGCTTTCCTTCCCTCTTCCTCTGTCTTTTTGCTTATAAGGCTCTGTAAAGCCCCACAGACCTTGGCAGATACAAATGAGAAAAAAACTTCTCAAAAGCGTTTGCACTCCCTTCCCGGCATGTTTGTGAGACGTACCCGGGAAATCTTCCACCTGGAGACAGCTGCTATTCAGAGAAAACCCTATGGAGGAACGAATCCAGTTATACCCAGGAAAATCTTCCACCTGGGGTTGCCAAACTCCAAGTGGGTATGGAAAGATTTATGCACTGTGTATAATAGATGTATGCTTAAGGTAGATCCATGGTGGTCTTTTTCTTTTTCTTTTAAAAATATTTCTATACTATTGTATAAATATTGGTGTCAAGTATTACCAAACACAGGTTCACCAAAACAGTACATCAAAGTGCAGGTTTATACTGTGTTCAAACATTCAAACAGCACCTTGTCAGTTTCACAATCACTAGCCCCACGGGCATTTAGTAATTTACCCCTATCGAATACAATCTTCTTCAAAGACAGTGATGTACATACAAGACATACGGCGCAATGAATTCTCTTTGTGAGTATAAAACTCTTAAAATAGCAGCATATTTTCGAGGGTCCTGTCGGAACCCTTGCGGCAAACATAATAACTTATTTAGGAGAACGTATCTCTCAAGTTCTACCAGGCAGAGTTTTATACTCACACAGCGAATTTATTGCACCTTACGTCTTGTATGTATATCTCTGTCCTTGAAAAAGATTGTATTCGATACGGGTAAATTACTAGAGTCCCGTGGGACTAGTGGCTGCGGTCACACCCAGTGAATAATCCACTTTCAGTGAACTTTCCAACTGGATTTTTACTGTGTGAACTGGGAAAATCCAGTTGGAAAGTGCATTGGAAGTGGATTGAAAGTGGATTATTCAGTGGGTGTGACCGCAGCCTAGTGACTGTGAAACTGACAAGGTGTTCCTTGAATGTTTGAACACAGTGGAAACCTGCGCTTTGATGTATTGTTTTGGTGAACCTATGTTTGGTAATACTTGACCAGGGCTCTTTTTTTGTAGCAGGAACTCCTTTGCATATTAGGCAACACCCTCCCTAATGTAGCCAGGGGTCGTTTCGTAGAAAAAGAGCTAGGGGAACTCATTAGCATAACACATTAGCATATGCCACACCCCCTGACATCACCGGAAGTGTGTCATAAGGCCACACCTCCTGACATCACCGGAAGTGTGCCATAAGGCTACACACCCAGGCCCCAACGGTCCCGGCCGCCACCGCCAGCCTTGCAGCTCCACTGCCGAGCCCCATGAGGGGCCTGGCGGTGGACCTACAAGGCCGGCGGGAGTGCAAGGAAGCCCCGCCAAGGCCCTCCCTGGCCCCAGGCAGGCAGGGGTGGGGAGAGGCAGGGAGGAAGCAACTTACCCTGACCCCCCCCGAAATGACCTCTGAATGTAGCCAATCGTCTGAGAGCTTACAGAGCTCTTCTTACAGGGGCTACTGTAAGCTCTTGGAGCATTCGCTACATTAGGGGCGTGTCACCTAATATGCAAGGGAGTTCCTGCTACAAAAGGAGCCCTGCTTGACACCAATATTTATATAATAGTATAGAAAAAAATAAAAAATAAACATAAAAATAAAAAGCACAACATGGATCTACCTTAAGCATACATCTAATATACTCAGTGTCGTATATTTTTAAATACCTTCCATACCTTCCTAACACAGTGACCCTCCGTTTCTGTACTATAAACTCCAAGTGGGGCCTGGAGATCTCTCCGAATCACCACTGATCTCCAGACGAGAGATCAGTTCCCCCGGAGGAAACGGATGTCTTGGAGACGTTGTACACCACTGAGTTCCCTGTCCTCCCTAGACTCCACCCCCAAATCTCCAGGAACGTGCCAACCCAGACTCGGCAACCCTACACTGCGTCCCTCCCCTAGCCCCGAAAGAACCCCGAAACCCTCTACTTGCTTCTTGACAGGACCAGCTGTTCCTCCCGCGCGTTCTCGTCTCGGATGCTCCTGATGTATTGGCAACATTCCAGGAAGGCCGCCTTGCACTCATTCTGCTCGAGGATGTACTCGGCCCGCTTCTCGCAGCTGTGGCCCATGGGGTTGTCCTGCATGCCGTCTTCACAGCACGTCTTCAGCAGCCGGTCCTGATACTGGGCGACTGAAACACACAAGCCTCCGTGAAACAGGGAAACGGCAGAAAAGGTAAATGCATTTTTTGGCTCTGTCTTCACGATGGAGGGTAAGAGGTGCTTGCCTACTCCAGAACCGCTGATTTCGGGAGGGGTATTGAAAGACCTGAGTGGGACTGAGGTGATGAGAGAGGCGATCCAATGACTGATGGACAAATTTAAACACTGACGAATCACCAGGTCCAGATGGCATACATCCAAGGGTTCTGAAAGAACTCAGATGTGAACTTGTGGATCTCGTGACAAAAAATATGCAATCTATTGCTTCATTCTCGAGGACTAGAAGGTAGCTAATGTAAACCCTGTCTTTAAAAAAGGTTCCAGAGGAGAACCGGGAAATTACAGGCCAGTCAGTCTGTAATGATTCCTTGTTTTAAGAGTGTGTGTGTTCCTTTAAATGTTTGGTTGGAGTGCCGTGATAGCAGAGTAGAGTGATCGAGGGAGACAAGTGTGGTGTGATTGGAGGATGAGAGAGTGTGGGAAGAGTTTTTGAAAAAGAATCTCTGTGTGTGTCTTGAAGAGTTATGAAAAGTCAGTTAGAGAAATCAGTTGGAGTTTTGAGTTGGAGTCAGAGTCAGTGAATGAGCTGACAGAGTCTATGTGGAAAATTAGTTTAGAGTTCAGTATATACAGCCTTAAGAGTTAAATGTGAAGGAGCTATGAGAAGGGTCTGTGAGACTCCAAAGTTATAAAGAGAATTAATACAAAGAGCTTTGCCAGTGTGACTGCCTAGTGAAAGAGTGATTCCTGTCAGAGAGGGATCTTATGATCAAAAGACTGTGTGTGATACCTTGCTAGTTTCTCTTCCCCATAACAGTTACAGTTCACCAGCAACTCCTTTTTGTTCCTAAATCAATAAATCATATTTTGTTTAAGTTTAACCCAGAATTCAGTTCAATCCTCAGGGCCACAGAGACCTCTGAAAAGCCCAGACTCTAGGTCACTTTACCAACAGTAAAGGAGAGAAGGTTTGGAATTCCTTAAATTCCTGGTGGCAGCAGAAACTACCCAGTTTACAAAAGCAAAGAGCACATTTCAAGTGAAAACCAGTCCTCCCAAATAAGAGGACGCCACACGGTCTAACATCGAGACAGAGTAAGTTGGTGGAATCCATTATTAAAGAGATAGAATTAGTAGGCACATTGACGAACACAATCTACTGAGGAGGAATCAAGGGAAGATCTTGTCTCACTTGCCTTTTAGAGTTCTTTGAGGGGGTGAACAAACATGTGGACAAGGGGGACCCAATAGATGTTGTTTACCTTGACTTCCAGAAAGCTTTTGATAAAGTTCCTCATCAAAGAATCCTAAGTGAACTCAGCAGTAGGGATGGGTATGAAATGATTTACGAACCCGGGTTCATCATGAACCAGGGGTTTGGGAGACTGGTTTGTCTCATCCGCCCACGAACCTCCATGTTTTCATGGCGTGGGCAGGTTCAGAAGAGAGCTCCGAAGGCATTTAAATGCCTTCGGAGCCCACCTCCAAGTCGGGCCAGCCAGACTGGGCCCTAAGGTGAGCTCCGAAGGCCTTTCTCAGCACTTCACCTAGTCCAGCATCCTGTCTCACACAGTGGTGAACCAGTTCCTCTGGAGGTCCAACAACAGGACATAGAGGATGAGGCCTTTCCCTGAGGTTGCCACCTGGCACTCAAATTCAGAGGTACAGTGTGTGGAGGTTCCCTTTAGTCACTGTGGTTAGGAGCCACTGATGGACCTCTCCTTCATGAATCTGTCTAATCCCCTTTTAAAGATGTCTGTCCTTGTGGCCATTGCTACCTTCGCTGGAACTGAATTCCGCATTTTAATCACTCGCGTCCAGAAGGCTTTCCTTTTGTCTGTCCTGAACCTACTGCCCGTCACCTCCACTGCACGCCCTCCAATGCAAGCAGTCTTTGCATGCAAGCAAGCTTCCGATCTCACGCACCATTCATGCCATCACTCATGACATTTGGACCTCTCGGGGTTAGCCCACCAGGGCCCCGCTCCTTCCCACGTACCTTTGCTGGCCTTGGAGTCCAGAAGCTGCAAAGAGCGGCGGCGGCGTCTTGCGGGCTGCTGGCACTTTGGATCTGGGGCGGGGAAAATGGTGCGGGGGGCAAGAACAGGAAATTATTCCACTGGTTTGAAATAAGGAAACTCTGCTGGATTCCAGTTTTTGTGCGCACGGATCCCGCAAATCCGGCCAAGGTGAACAGAACCTACTCCCACGTAGGAGAAAACAGAACTGCACCCCGCGGTCCTACCCACACGTAACATTGCCATGCTTGGGACAGTCCCCAAAGGCTGCTATTTCGAAGGTCAGAGTTACAGGCCATAAACAATTTTTGGGATAAATGGTTTATTTTTTTCGAATATGTATCCTCAAACCCACTTGATACATATCATTTGCCCCCCAAATACATGCATTTCGTGTTTTATTAGTATATTAAGAGGTTCTATTACAGGATAAAGCAATATGTATGGTGAGCTAAGTTATTGTTTTGTATTGCCACTATTTTTATGGTTTTCTGCTAATTCGGCACACTCTGCTGTCTTCTGTAAGCCACCCAGAGCCTGTTTACAGGGTGGGAGGGGTATAAATATAAGTATAAACTAAAAATAAAATAAATTGTTAGTATTACTTCTATTCACCGCTTCTAGGGGAGCGGTGGCACAGGGAATTTATCCTCTGGTTAAACAGGCAATGCAGTTGCACTGTACTTGGAGAAATTATTCTGGTCTGTGGTCTATTCTGCTGTGTAGAGCTTGCTGGCCCCCTAGAGTCGGATTTGACTAGCTTTTGAGCAAGGGAAACCTTTATGGAAATTTGCATTCATTTAATGTGTCATGTTCACACTTATGCTTTGCCTCGGTTCTGTTTCTAGACTTCTGCTTGGCCCTACAACCCGAATCCTGTGGCACTGTTTATTGAATATCCCATCCTGTGGATTGTATTGACTCACTCTGTGTCATTTGCCTTGAGTCCAGGCGAGACAGGAGGACTATAAATAATGTCACCAAATAGACGGATGAAATACCTGTTCTTTGGGGTGTGGTGATCTTGTTGCTGGTCTCCAGGGCCAGTCCGGCATCCAGAAACACTCCCACGTGGTTACTGCCACTCCCAGCTGTGCATCCGATGTCACTCTTCTCCACCGTGTCCCAGATCTGCCGTGCAAAAGAAACCAATGAGAGCGGACTCAGCGCATGCCGAGGTCGGAGACAATCCGCGACGGGTGCTCCCGCCACGGGGAACACCTCGGCTCACCTTTGCTTGGGTCAGCTTGTACTTCTTGTTGAGGACGTAGACGGCTTTGTCGACAGCCACCAGGCCGACGTGAGCATTCGCGTCTCCTTCCAGCTTGAGCTTCATTCTTGATCCTGGGCTGTGGACTTCGTTATCTGCATCGGTTGCACCTGTCACCACCAGCTGTTGAACAAGGGTGACAGCAAGGATGAGGTTTGAGACCGGGAAAGGGCCTGGTGGTAAGTCTTTGTGGGGAAGAAGCGCGGTTCATGGCCTCGGATCAAACTTTTAAGTCCTTTAGGATGCCTTACGCATCTCCCATACATTGATTTTCCTTACAACAGAACAAGGGCACAACCATACTTCTCAAGATACTGTTTCGATCTATGGCCTGACAAATAGGGACTGGGGACCTAATCCGGGCCTGCCCGTTGTACGTAGGGATGTCTAGGGCAGGGCCGGATCTGACATACATGAGACATAAGAACATAAGAATATAAGAACATAAGAGATGCCAATGTTGGATCAGGCCAAAGGCCCATCCAGTCCAACACTCTGTATCACCGCCCTGAGCCTTCGGGGTAGGGCGGGGTAGAAATTCAAATATAAATAAATATAAATAAATAAAATAAATCACACAGTGGCCAGAAATACCAGGTGCCATCAGGAGGTCCACCAGTGGGGCCAGGACATTAGAAGCCCTCCCACTGTTGACCCCCCACCCAAGCACCAAGATGACAGAGCATCACTTGCCCCAGAGTCCCTATCTATACCTTGTGGCTAATAGCCACTGATGGACCTTGTTACAGGCAATACAGGCAGCGACAGCTCGGGACAAGCGTCTCCAGATATTCAAGCAGATTATCCTGACAGGCCGGCCTGCAGAAAAACTTGAGTTACCAGGAGAGGCTGCTCCATAGTTCGCCATGAGGGATGGATTTAGGGTCCAGGGTGGGATTCTTTTTAAGGGTAACAGAGCGATCATCCCTGAGGCATTGCAATCGGACACAATGCAGCCGATACACTCGTCACATATGGGGATAGAGAGCTGTCTGAGGAGAGCACAGGAATGTGTAGACTGTACAAATGCCCAGCTGAAACCTTATGTGAAATCGGTACACTTATTTAAAGACAGAAAACAAAAGAATACCCTACATCCACATGAAAGTGCCATGCCGACCTTGGGAAAAGGTAGGAATAGACTCGTTTACCTTACAACAGAAGAATTATATGATAAACCAGGGGTGTTGAACTCATTTGTTATGAGGGCCGGATCTGACATAAATGAGACCTTGTCGGGCCGGGCCACGTGTGTCATAAAATGTAATGCCAGGCAGCGGAGATATTAAACTTTATAAAGGACAGAAACACAAAGGGGTGGTTTTTTTAACTTTAAAACATGCTTAAAACATTAGCACTCTTGCAAAATTTTGTTTATTTAGCAGTGTCTGATAACGGACACCTCTTGCTCTGAATTATTGCATCACAATGTCTGTGCTGTTGCAATCTTGAGTTTGCTGCTCAGGTGTGTAGTTGGAAGTTGCAGACCTACGATGACACAGCAGCAGCAGAACTGGAAGTAGCAGCAGAAGACAGCCACTTCCACTGCGGGCCTGAGAGAAGACCTCCGGGGGCCTGATCCGGCCCCTGGGCCACATGTTTGACACCCCTGGTTTAGGGCATGAGCTCTTAAAGTCCACATATTTCCCAAAAGTGTTCCTGTGTAATATCCTGTGTGGCAGCCAGTCAGATAATAAGGAACCCTGGCATGTGTTAATACATCTGACTGTGGCCCCCTAGGTCCTCACACTTTCTAATCAAAATTGAAGCAAATCTGGAAGAGGGTGGGATTTTCCAGATTGTGGATTTATGCATTCTTCTGCCCCCCCTTCCCCAGCTGCAGCCACTTCACCTACCGTTCCCATGCAGGTATCTTTCACATCCACCCAGACAGAGTCGGCCACAATTTCGCTGTTCCCGATTTGAAAGTAAGCCACAATTCGGAAAGAGGGGATGAGATCCGGGGTGATGGGCAGAGACATCGTCACCAGGTTCTGCCCCGCGGCCTTCAGCTGCCTCCCGGTCTTGAAAATCTTTCCTTTGGTCATGATCTGATGGAGGACAAAAGAAACTGGCTTGGTAAGAGGGAAGAGGCTTCAGCACAGGGACTGGGATGAGGCTGGATTCACACAGCTCAGAGCCAGGGAAGCTCCTGGAGATTCCTTGCGCTCCACGGGGCTTGTGACTGTGGGTCGCTGGAATGACGTACATGGTGGAATGAACATAAAGCACTGCTAGGATGCCAACCTTCAGGAAGGGCCTGGAGATCTCCTGGAACGACAACTAATCTCCAGACTACAGAGATCAGTTCCTCTGGAGAAAATGGCGGCTTTGGAGGGTGGACTCTGTGGCACCATGTGACCTCATTGAGGTACCTCCCCTCCCCAAGCTCCCCCCCCCCAATCTTCAGGAATTAAAGAACATAAGAACATAAGAGAAGCCAATGTTGGATCAGGCCAAAGGCCCATCCAGTCCAACACTCTGTGTCACACAGTGGACAGAAATACCAGGTGCCCTCAGGAGGTCCAGCAGTGGGGCCAGGACACTAGAAGCCCTCCCACTGTTGCCCAAGAATACAGAGCATCCCTTGCCCCAGACTGAGAGTTCCTACCTATACCTTGTGGCTAATAGCCCCTGAGGGACCTCTGCTCCATATGTTTATCTTATTCCCTCTTATAAGAACTTAAGAGAAGCCAATGTTGGATCAGGCCAATGGCCCATCCAGTCCAACACTCTGTGTCACACGGTTGCCAAAAACACCAGGTGCCCTCAGGAGGTCCAGCAGTGGGGCCAGAACACTAGAAGCCCTCCCACTGTTGCCCCCCCAAGCACCAAGAAACAGAGCATCCCTTGCCCCAGACTGAGAGTTCCTATCTATACCTTGTGGCTAATAGCCACTGATGGACCTCTGTTCCGGATGTTTATCCAATTTCCTTTCGAAGCCGTCCATGCTTGTAGCTGCCACCACCTCCTGAATTTGGCAATCCTACCTGCACTACTGCTGGCATGTGACATGGAAGTCCCCTCAGAAGGCCTCAAACCAAACTTCTCAAGAGAACAGAGTGTGGGTCAGGCTATTCCCAGTTCCTGCTTTTCCATGAGGCCTAGTCACAGGACCCTGGAGATTTATCCCATTAATGAATTATCTTTCGATCAATTGAACTCCAGGTGGATTACAATATGTTAGAAGAATACAAGAACCACGACTGCCAATCACTCTCCTTTGGGGTGTTGGCATTGCTACAATTGTGACGCAGGAAAAATAATCACAGCCAGCATCCTTAAGCAGTATGGCTGTTTGCAATTTAATCTTAAATATACCCAGGAGGACATCTTCACATTTTCCTGAAAATTTTGTGCTCCATACCCCCTATGGGAGGAACAGAAACTGGGGGAGGGGGATTTCAGATGGAAAGCAAGTGGCAGGGGAAGGGTTAAGCACCCCTTCCTGTCTGTCCTTTCTCTGGTGCAAACTGGCGAACCAGGGAAGCAACATACACAGAAGAGGAAGCATGGAGTTGCTGTGTAATCTGTAGTTTGGCCCTTAGCCAAGGCATTGCCATCTCACTCCCTTCCTTTGGGCGAGGTGTTGGCTGCTAGGGCATGGTTTCCCCAGAGACAGGGGTCATTTCGAAAAGAAAAACGAAGGAACGGTGTTCCGGGAGTAACAAGCCTGCCCCCACGACTTCTTGCTAAGGCTCCCAGCCTTCAAGCATTTGTTTCTGTCAGTAAAATGTAGGGGGAAAGAGCATGTCAGGCCAGACAGCAGCCACCATGCAACTTGCATAACTCATGCAGTTGCTACTACTCGACAGCTGCTGCCCCATGAAGTGTTGTGTAGTGGTTAGTGTTCCAGACAAAGATTTGGGAGACCCAGGTTTTAACCTGAGTTGGGAAATCTGGAGATTATTGGGGTGGAGCCTGAGCGGTGGGTGTTGCCTTCTGACTCACTTCTGGTGATGCCAGGGGGTGTGGCATATGAAGAAGAAGAGATTGGATTTATACCCCCTGCCCTTCACTTGGAGTCTCAGAGCGGCTTACAAACTCCTTTCCCTTCCCCTCCCCACAACAGACACCCTGTGAGGTGGGTGGGGCTGAGAGAGCTCTGACACAAACTGCTCTTTTTCATGGACAGCTGTGCCAGAGCTTGTGACTGACCCAAGGTCACACCAGCAGGTGCAAGTGGAGGAGTGGGGAATCAAACCCGGTTCTCCCAGATTAGAGTCCGCGCACTTAACCACTACACCAAACTGGCTCATATGCAAATGACGTATGCAAATGAGTTATGCTAATGAGCCCCTTAACCTTTTTTCTACGCAATGACCCCTGCCTAGAGATATAAGGATTTTCCAGACCTACACGATCTTCAGCTACCAGGGCTCCTTCCAGAGAGCATGAGTACTAATTAAAAGGGAGAAGGGGATTTGGCCTTTGGATTTCCCCTTGCACTTACTATGTAGGTGAAATAATGGATCTGGTTCATCACATTTGGGTTGTTGGTCTTCACATTGAAATTGATCGGCAAGTTATCCCCGGCCCTGAGCTCCCTGGCTGTGACGGCCAAATGGAGGTAGTTCCCAGACTGTCCCTGGGTCTGGTAGGCGTTGGCCAAGATGGTATTGCTGGCCTGTGCATTGGCCTGGACTTTCGGGTGCCTGGTTTTGACCTAAAAGAGAGAGAGAGGCGTCAGTCAAGACTGAAAGCACCCATGGCATCCTTTTAATTCCATCACAAGGAAAACAGAAACTCCACTTCAAGTTCTGCTGGGAAAAAAAAGATAACATCTGAGATGTGGAGAGGAAGGCATTGGCTCCGATCCTGGGAAAATGGGTATCTACCAAGTAAGTGCTTTTATATAATCTGCATATTTGTGCAGGGGTGGTCTGAGGGCAAAAGTCCTTAATACTGGAGTTCCAGTATGTACTTTTGTTTTTTTGTATTTTAATAACTGCCCCAGTATGTACTTTTTAGCGAATGGCTCACAAAGCCTGATCTATGATGTCACAGGCTACTGATACCAATCAGAGCTTTATAAAATATGGTCCCTCCCCCATCAAGCTCTGAACCTCCGTGACAAATAGCTGGTCTGGCCCAAACCGGATTGTGCTTTGTCCAAAATGTGGCAGGACGGTCCAATGGAGAATGGAAATGAATGGGTCATTCTAATGTAAACCCTCCAGGGGTCCAAGATTTCAGACACTCTAGGTGGCGCTCTTGAGCCCTAGCAAAGTTTTAGGGTTTCTGTCATATCCTTCCTCAAAGAAGTGAAAGTATGAAGCACAGTCATACAAGTATACCTCATCCCATCCATCAGACTCCACACAAACTTACACGCACACAGGTAAAATCCTATACAGGGCCTAGCATCAAGGCACATATTCCTCCCCGGCACAGAAAATGAGGAGGATGGTGGACTTTGGTATAACAGGAAGGATCCCTCCATCCCTTCTGCTAGGGCAGTGATGGCGAACCTTTTAGAGACCGAGTGCCCAAACTGCGACCCAAAACCCACTTATTTATCGCAAAGTGCCAACACCGCAATTTAACCTGAATACTGAGGTTTTACTTTAGAACAAACAACTCATACATTAATTTAAGATGATCCAGACAAAGTAAGGAAACCAATCCCAAATGCTTTCATTGACTTAAAATTATTTGGCAGAGAATTCAACACTTTAACGACGGTCTGGGCCTGGCTGGGACGATGGCACGCGGGCCCACGGAGAGGGCTCTGAGTGCCACCCCTGGCACCCGTGCCACAGGTTCGCCACCACTGTGTTAGGGTGAGCGGAATCGGCTTGGACCAACAAACACTTATATCGTGCACTGGGCAGGAAGCCCTCCCCTAAAAGCTCACGTGCTCCCCCAGGAACACTGGCTTTGTGAATAGACCAGAATTCCCCATCATTTTTGGGCTTGTGGGCACTTTTGGCATTCTGACATCGGCCCAACCTGCATTTGCTGTGTAAAGCTGTTTTGTCCTGCTTTGGCGCCAGCTTCCTTTGCCTTCCATTTGGCTCAGTATGAAAAGCTCGCTGTCAGGACAGAGGGAGAGCGCGCGAGAGGGGGGAGAGGAGCGGCCTTTCGGGGGCGCCGGCAGGGCCCTGCGCTGCGCTGCAGGGAGGAAATGGTACCTGCAACCCCCCCAGAAAGTAAAGGGGGGGTGACCTGGCAGAGGGGGAGGCAGGGGGGGAAGGAAAGACACAACGAGCTGGGTAAAAAACACAAAACACCCAGCAGTTGCCAGGCAGGGCGTTCTGGGGACTGCCCCAGGAAATAACAAATGGTTCAAGGGTGGGCGTGCTTCCAACCACCACCACCCCCAAAAAAAATATGATCGCAGAAAAATGTTCCCTGGCTGCTTTTAAACACAGACGACTGGATTTTCAGCTAACTTGCGGTGGCTCAAGTGGTTAAGGCACTGAACTGCAGGCTGTGGAAGGTCAGTAGTTCAGCAGTTCGAGACCCGAGTGCACCGTGTGACGGAGTGAGCTCCCATCTCTAGTTCCAGCTCCTGCCAACCTAGCAGTTCGAAAGCAAGAAATTGCAAGTAGATAAATAGGTACCGCTTCGGTGGGAAGGGAACAGCGTTCCGTGCGCCTTGGTATTTAGTCATGCCGGCCACATGACCACGGAAACGTCTTTGGACAGCGCTGGCTCTTCGGCTTTGAAACGGAGATGAGCACCGCAACCCTAAAGTCGGATTCGACCGGCTTTCGAGCAAGGAAACCTTTACCTTTACCTGTCTCCTTTGTGACAATTTGCGTATCTCCTTAGAAAAGATGGGGGGAGGGAAAATTCGGCTCCAGTGGTCTGCTTATCACTCACAGCCGCCCGAGGGCGGGGAGGAGCAATTAAACCACCTTAAAACCAAATCCAAATAACACAGTGAGATGCCGTAGTGACCTTGAAGTCACCACTAAATGGCAATAAAATGATGCGGATGGACAACGCTGAGACGAAACAGTAGGAGAGCGGATGCGGCATGAAATGCAGGAAGAAATTTGCCAGGCGATGTGGGCTCATTGGCACAGCGGCGGGAAAGACCAATGCAGATTGGACCAAAGTCTGGTGGGCGCAGCCACCAAATGGCTGCCACCAAATAGCTGCCACAGAGCCGATGTCAGCTAGCTGCCATATCTGTGTAGTCTACCCTTCCCTGTTCCCGCCTCGCTTGCAGCTTAGCAGCTTGCCGTAAACATGCCAGGGAGGCCATGGGAGCTAGACGCCGTTATCAGTCTGGCCTTGTGAAGTAGGGAAGGCTTGGGGTCCACATTTGGTGTGAATTTTTCTGCTCTCAGGAAAACCTGCGACTCTCCCGCTCATTATGTAATCTCCCGCCGGGAGTCTTCCCGCCCGCACGCTCGAAGTTCATTTGCTTAGCTAACTGCCTTGCCCAGCTATATGTATTGGGATGTTCCCGCCTTCTAGCTATTCCTAACAATAATCCTGTGGACATGGTACCAGTCTTGTACACCAATAAAGCATAACGCTTCTTAGGAAACGTGTGTGAAGAGTGACTTGCTGTGGAACCTGACAGCCGAACCCGTGCAGAGAATGGCTGCCACAGCTTAGATCCGATCACACAGGGAAGAAGCTTGTGCTGCGGAGGCGGCTGCTGCCGAAGCCATCTCCAGTGGTCAAGGTCAGAGGCCTTGCTGGGAAGAAGTCCTAGTTAGCCCTCCCCACTTTCTACAAACAGCTGGCGGGCACCAGGAAAGGTGCTGGAAGACGCCATGCTGCCCATGGGGACCACGTTGGGGACCGCTGGTATAGACAGTCGCCACAAGCCGAGTGAAACTCGGCACAATCTCAGAACAACTCACTGTGATTCTCAGCTGTTGTTGGTTTGCTGGCGTGTTCAGGATAAGTTTGGCAGTTCCATCGCTCTGGGTAAGCGCCTCCGCTACGATGGGATCCGATACCACGGGGATATTTGGAGCTGGGGAGCCATCAGGGTTGGTGACAAAGGCCTGGGAGAAATCAGAAGAGCACAAAGAACCAGCGTGAAGCACACAGAAACCTCCACTGAGCCCAGCTCACTTCTCCACTTCATCTGGAATATCTGAATATAATTCCACTGCTGCCTATGACTGTTGATCTAGTTTTAAACTAGCTTTATCTGATCCTGTAGGCTCAACCAGATGAGACGCAGATCACCCGCTTAGTCCATCCACTGCAAACTGCAGGCTAGAGCAGCCTCAATTTGCCTCAGAGCTGTGCACAGGAAAAGAGAAAAGGTTTAACCCTTCAACCTCCCCTCTGTTTTGCTCTTCAAAACTGGCTCCCACCCACAATTAGTGTTTTCAAGGAGAAAATGTTTCCTTTAAAAACAGCCACAACCAAGTGCATTCGCTTTCCTGTTTGGTCCCAAGGCAAATTGAGGCATGTGCTAATACAGACAAGACCAAGATGTGCATTCTTCATCTTGTCTCTTTGAACACTGAGACTGGGCCGTAAGAAGAAAAGATGACTTTAATTAATAGTACTGTACCGTCAGTTCATATGGCATTCCCGGCTTGAAGTACTTGGGGGTTCTTGTGAAGCGGATTTCGTAGGGGGAGGTCACGATCTTAATGCCACTTTGTTCAGCTACCACCATGTCATTGCCTGCGAAAGCAAGAAAGAGATGCAGATAAGAATGTGAAGCCCCAGTTGTTGGGAGAGGGGAATGTAACGTTTGAAAACCAATTCCATCTGCCCCAGTCCTTCCACTTCCTGAGGATGTAGTTTTCTGGACTCTGTTTTCAGGGAACCTTTTCAGATCTGTTCATGTGCTGAGGCATCGTGGTGCATCAGCCCCAAGCCCCTGAACATCTGTGCATTACAGACCATCCTGTTGTAAGACGTGCAAAGTTCACACAGGACAGTGGCCAGGACTTTGCCCCAGACCGAGAGTTCCTATCTATACCTTGTGGCTGAGAGCCACTGATGGACCTCTGCTCCATATGTTGATCCAATTCCCTCTTATAAGAACATAAGAGAAGCCAATGTTGGATCAGGCCAAGGGCCCACCCAGTCCAATACTCTGTGTCACACAGTGGCCAAAAATACCAGGTGCCATCAGGAGGTCCAGCAGTGGGGCCAGGACACTAGGAGCCCTCCCACTGTTGCCCCCCCCCCCAAGCACCAAGAATATAGAGCACCAATTGTCCCAGACCGAGAGTTCCTATCTATCCCTTGTGGCTAATAGCCACTGATGGACCTCTGCTCCATATGCTTAGCCGAATCCCTCTTATAAGAACCTAAGAGACGCCAATGGCCCACCCAGTCCAACACTCTGTGTCACACAGTGGCCAAAAACACCAGGTGCCCTCAGGAGGTCCAGCAGTGGGGCCGTCAGCATCTCAGGATCTCAGGAAGGGATTGAATGAAATCCCCTTCTAGGCTTGCACCATTATTGAGGGGGTTGTAGTGATGGTCACAGGAATATATACAGCTTTAAAAGAGGATTAGACACATTCATGAAGGACAGGTCGATCAGTCACTACTAGCCATGGTGACTAAAGGGAACCTCCACTTTCAGAGGCAGTTCACCCTTAAAACACCAGGAGAAGGCCTTGGCTTCAATGCTCTGTTTGTTGGACCTCCAGAGGAACTGGCTGGCCCCTGTGTGAGACAGGATGCTGGACTAGATGGACCCTCCCTGGTCTGACCCAGCAGGGCTCTTCTGGTGTCCTTCTCAGGGGAAGGCCTCGGCCTCTCTGCCCTGGTGCTGGCCCTCCAGAGGGACTGGCTGGCCCCTGGGTGAGACAGGAGGCTGGACTGGAGGGACCCTCCCTGGTCTGACCCAGCAGGGCTCTTCTGGTGTCCTTCTCAGGGGAAGGCCTCGGCCTCTCTGCCCTGGTGCTGGCCCTCCAGAGGGACTGGCTGGCCCCTGTGTGAGACAGGATGCTGGACTAGATGGACCCTCCCTGGTCTGACCCAGCAGGGCTCTTCTGGTGTCCTTCTCAGGGGAAGGCCTCGGCCTCCCTGCCCTGTTGCTGGCCCTCCAGAGGGACTGGCTGGCCCCTGTGTGAGTCGGGAGGCTGGACTGGAGGGACCCTCCCTGGTCTGACCCAGCAGGGCTCTTCTGGTGTCCTTCTCAGGGGAAGGCCTTGGCCTCTATGCCCTGTTGCTGGCCCTCCAGAGGGACTGGCTGGCCCCTGTGTGAGATGGGAGGCTGTACTGGAGGGACCCTCCCTGGTCTGACCCAGCAGGGTTCTTCTGGTGTTCTTATCAGGGGAAGGCCTTGGGCTCTCTGCCCTGTTGCTGGCCCTCCAGAGGAGCTGGCTGGCCCCTGTGTGAGACAGGAGGCTGGACTAGATGGACCCTCCCTGGTCAGACCCAGCAGGGCTCTTCTGGTGTTCTTATATCAGGGGAAGGCCTCGGCCTCTCTGCCCTGATGTTGGCCCTTCAGAGGGACTGGTTGGCCACTGTGTGGGACAGGATGCTGGACTAGATGGGCCCTAACTGGTCTGATCCAGCAGGGCTCTTCTGATGTTCCTATCAGGGGATGGCCTCGGCCTCTATGCCCTGTTGCTGGCCCTCCAGAGGAACTGGCTGGCCCCTGTGTGAGACGGGAGGCTGGACTAGATGGGCCCTCACTGGTCTGATCCAGCAGGGCTCTTCTGATGTTCTTATCAGGGGACGGCCTCGGCCTCTATGCCCTGTGGTTGCCCCTCCAGAGGAACTGGCTGGCCCCTTTGTGAGACAGGATACTGGACTAGATGGGCCCTCACTCTTCTGACCCAGCAGGGCTCTTCTGATGTTCTTATCAGGGGACGGCCTCGGCCTCTATGCCCTGTGGTTGGCCCTCCAGAGGGACTTGTTGGCCAATGTGTGAGACGGGAGGCTGGACTAGATGGGCCCTCACCGGTCTGATCCAACAGGGCTCTTCTGATGTTCTTATCAGGGGATGGCCTCAGCCTCTATTCCCTGTGGTTGGCCCTCCAGAGGTACTGGTTGGCCACTGTGTGAGACAGGTGAGATCAGATGGACTACTGGAATCATCCAGGAGGTCTCTTCTGAAGCTCTTATCAGGAGAAGGGTTCAATCTCGATGCCCTGTTATTGGACCGCAAGAGGAACTCATTGGCCACTGTATGCGATGGGATGCTGGAACAGATGGCCCATTGGTCTGATCCAGCGGGGCTTTTCTGGTGTTGTTATGCCAAGGAGGCGTGGACTCAGGAGGGGGTGAGTGTACCTGGCTTGGGGTGGGAAGACACCTGACAACTCTCTTTCCATGCACGGACCACCCACCATTTCATCAGGAGCTAAGGTCTTTTTTTTCACCTGATTCTGTCATCACAGTCACAGAGACGTAGAGGTAATGCCCAATAAGATCCCTGAACTCCCCGGGGCCAGCAAATTGTTTTTGCAGCACGTGTTTTGTTAGCACAGCATCTCTTTCCCCTTCGCCATCGATAATCTGCAGGAAAAGGGAGAAAACGAATGCCGTTTGCCACTCTGTCCCAGCCCTCCGCAGAGGAAGCCAGCGGTGGGCATCCACACCAACATGCAGGACCCAAGCCGGGTCTTTCCTACCGGAATTCTGTCAAGGGAATCGGGGATGCTGAGCTTCTTGCCATCTTCAATCACTCCAAAGAGGACCAAGGCCACACCTTTCACTCTCTTCCCGTAGAGGAACCTGGGAGAAGTCACAGAATAGCAAAGACGGGTCAAGCCATAGCAGAGGTGGTTCGTCATTGCCGGATTATAAATGGGACACAAATTATGCGTTTTACAAATCTTTAGGCGCTAGAACTGGTCCAATCAAAATTCCTGAGATCCCTTTTTAATACTCCAAGATGCACTTCCAATGTTGTTCTGAGACAAGAAGCTGGTCTCAGTACAGTCGAACTGAACATTTGGTTGCATTCTCTTTGTTTTTGGCTGAAAGTCCACCTTTTTCCCGCTGGGTTATTTCCACTTCTATTGGCTGCATCTCCTTACCCCCAGTGGTTCACTAGAGCCATCAACAAATTGAGAACATTAGGATTAGACCTGTACCATCTTCTGGAAAGCGGCAAAGCTAGGGCAAAAACTATTGTTTATCAACAGAGATATTGAGCTACAAACGTCTTACGCCGTACTCCCGCCTCTTTATAAATCTCTGAATTCCAAAATTTATATGACTGCTCCTTTATATCTAGCTAATATTTCCAACCCAAATTATAGATGGGCTTTTTCCAGAGCTAGGTTTGACACTTTTACATCCGCAGTTCTTTCCGGAAGATTCCAACGTATTCCCAGGCATTTGAGACTTTGCTCATGCCCTTCCGAGTCAATTGAGACCCTCCCCCATATATTACTTCATTGCTCTTATTACGCGGAAGAAAGACCCCTCTTAATTACACCTATAGTAAGATCATTTAGGTTCCAAGGACAACTAGTAATCCATTCTGAGGAACTTTTGCTGAAATACTTATTGGAGGATAAATCCTCCGCAATATCAAGGAATGTTGCTAAATTTCTTTTTATTGCATTTACAAAGCGCAAGCACCTCCTTAAAACTTCTTATGATATCTCACTTCTGTAATGCTTTTTGGAAACCTGGGACTGTCTTGTTTGTTCCTGTACACTGTGCGATGGGTCTCTGACCGTAATAAACTCTGATGATGATGATGCCGACTTATAACTCACTGGGATCTATTTCTAAGTAAGGTTACTCAGGATGAGGCTGCGGATATAGAATCATAAAATGTTACGAGTTGGAAGGGACCTTGCAGGTCATCTAGTCCAACCCCCTGCACTCTGCAGGAGCATAGTCAAAAGATACCCCTACAAAGGGGACAAAACTGACCCACGGAACTATAGACCAATAAGCCTGATAGATATAGCAGCAAAGGTTTATAGTATCCACCCCCATCAAGCAGGGTTTAGGAAAGGTCTTTCCACCATTGACCACTGCCTCACTCTTCATCCGATGGCTTATGCAAGCTTAAATGGCCCCACTAAGGCTCTATATGTAATGTTTATAGACTTGGCTGCGGCGTTTGACTCCATTGATAGGAACAGCCTTTGGCAAAAACTGGCAGATCTGAATATTGATAAATGGTTGTTATTCTTATTACGGGAGCTGCATACAAATATTAGTGCCCAGATTAGAGTTGGAAGGTCGGGGTCCCTAACTAACAAAATTCCAATTCATAAAGGAGTGAAGCAGGGGTGCATGCTGGCCCCTTTATTGTTCAACTTGTATATTAACAAAATTGTTGATAGGCTATCTGGCCCGCAATTCTTTCCTCCTACCCTTGGGAAGCATAAAATTTCAATTCTACTTTATGCAGATGACATGGCCCTAATATCACTCACAAAAATCGGGATGAGAAGATTATTGCCGCAACTAGGTTTATATACCCGAAAGATGGTCGTCCAGCCTCCGCTTGAAAACATCCAGTGAAGGAGCCTCCACCACCTCCTGAGGCAGTCTGTTCCACTGCTCAACCACTCTGACAGTCAGGAAGTTTCTCCTGATATTGAGCCAGTAATTACTCCCTTTCCACCCATTAGATCCAGTCTTGCAATCCGGAGAAAGAAAGAATAGATCTGCTCCATCTTCTACATGACAGCCCTTCAAATACTTGAAGACTGCAATCATGTCCCCTCTAAGCCTTCTCTTTCCCAGGCTAAACAGACCCAACTCTTTCAGCCTTTCCTCATAAGACTTGGATTCCAAACAGTGCTTCCTCTAAGCTGTGGAGTCTTGTGAGCAAAAATTCTACTTTGTGAGCTACTGGCATTAAAACTGTGAGTGAGCGGTTTGGCTACTGCATAGAACAGTTTGCTCTGGAGCCATCCTTCCTGAGCAAAGACAAAAAGGTGTGAGCCGGAGGCTAAAAAACTGTGAGCTGGCTCACACTAACTCGGTTTAGAGGGAACACTGATTCCAACCCTCTCACCCTCCTGCTTGCCCTCTTCTGAACACACTCGAGCTTGTCAACATCCTTCCTAAAACGTCGTGCCCAGAACTGGACACAGGACTCCAGGTAAGGCCATGACTATAGCAGAACAGAGCAGAACCACCACCTCCCGTGATCTGGACACAAGGCTTCTGCGAATGCACCCTAAGATTGCATTAGCTTTCTTCACCGTCACATTGACAATAAGACAATTTGATATCATAAATATGAAAGTCAGTATCAGATTGGTCCTCTTTGGCCTTATGATCGGCCTAAACCCACCTTGCAGTGATGGACACTCTGAAATTGTCGTCACTATCAATGTTATAAAACTTCTCGTGTGGGACCAGAATGACTTCAAAGCTTGGTAGCACTGGAAGGAAAACACAGAAGGAAGAGATTGTAAACGGTCTGATTCTAGAGAACCGATGCCTGTTTCGTAAAGTTTCAGGGGGGAGGTAGGAAACTGTTCCTTGGTGCTTTGGACAGAGGGGTTCAGAGGAGTGGGGGAGGGATGCAGTTCTGGAGATTAACGAACATTCAAAAATCTGAACTTTCCCCCTCTCGCATTCAAGGGGGCTCGTCACAGTTCCGTACAGTCCTTGCAATTTGCCACGTCAAGGGTTAGGATGGTGCTTGAGTCTTCCTTGGGGAAGGGCAGGGGTCATTTCCTGCAGGAGTGCACAGGAGCAGAGCTCCGGCAGTAAAACGCCCAGGGGGCGCACACATGCAACAAGCCCCACCCCCTCCTCCCAGCAGCTCCAGGCCACGAGGAGCAAGAAGTCTCTTCTTTCCCTCTTTCAAGCTCTCCCTCCTCTGTGAGGGCAGATCTGTGCATTTCCCCCCCCCCATAGGTAGCAATCTCCAGTGAAGCCTGAGCGGTGGGTGTTGCCTTCTGACACACTTCCAGTGATGTCAGGGGGTGTGGCATATGCAAATAAGTTACGCTAATGAGTTATGCTAATGAGCTCCTGCACCTCTTTTCCTAGGAAATGACCCTTCCTGGGGAAGGGTCAAGGGATTAATGCATCCTGGGATCAGGCGGAGGAGAGGCTGAGCCAGAATCGGCCATTCTTACCATATTCCTTGACTTCAAAATTTGTGGTGAAAGTCTCCTGGGGGGAGTCTTCATACTTGGCCGTCACCGTCCATGTCCCAAAGCTAGAGGAGAGGAAAAAAATTCAGGAAGGGTGAATTCTTTCATGCTTCTGTTTCATCAGCTTTGTGGCTGTAAAATATTTTCTCTAGGAGAAGCGATCTCTGGAGATGAGCTGTAATTCCAGGGGACCCCCCCGTCCCACCTGGAGGTTGGCATCCCTGGAGCCTCAGCGTAGACAATGTTGGCCTTGACAGACCAACTGGTCTCACTCAGCAGAAGGCGACTTCAAGCGATTCAAACAGCCCTAGTAAGTAATCTGGTGGCAGTATTTTGAACCTATTTCTGCTGCCATAAATCTTTGAGAATGACAGGAGCGCTCCGTCCATGAATCTTATCTGCACAATGTGTCTTTTGTAGCAATAAGCATCAACAGTATACAATTGAAAATTCCCCACCACCACCTTTTGGAAGACTTCGTGCAAGTAGAAGCGGGCTTGCAATTCCGGAAACTCCCGTTGAGGCTTGACTTTTCAAAATACTGATGCGAAATTGACTGGTAGTTGTTAAACAGAATGAATTGAATACATGTACCCGAAGGATGTAATAATAGCATATTATGCATTTTATAGAATGATAATTACAAATAGATGTTCATTCACATAAGTTTCTTGCAGTGTGTATTTATTTGTTACATAAATTTTCCAAAAGCACACCTCATGAAGGCCATGCTAGAGTCGCCTACTTTGGTTGTCACTAGAGAATGCATTACCTTGGCGAGATCCTTATATTACGGAAAAGCACACAGTTAATATGTCTGATTCCCATAATGTTTAATGCATAGGTTGAGGCATTGTATTTGGTTTTTACTAGGCTGGGGAGGGAATCTATGGGGATATATATATATATATTTGGTCAGTGGATGTTTTAACTATGTATTATGATTTGCGTGGGCCAAAAATTAGTTTCGATTGTGAGAAATGTGTTTGGCTACAAATGTTCTGTCTCACTAACCTAGCTCAAATGTTGGGTCTTACCAATCTACCTCCTAGGTATGTTGTGAGGATAAAATGGGATGGCCCTCAAGGATTCAGCCATGAGCGCCTTGAAAGAAAAGGAAGACTGTAAGAAGTTGGGTGTATGCAGGGCTATTTTTGGGCAGGAACGCACAGGAACGGAGTTCCGGCTGGCTCCTGAGATGGCCACGCCCAGCAGGAACTCATTAGCATAATAGGCCACACCCAACAGCAGGAACCCATTAGGATTGGCTACATTAGGAGTGTGTGGCCTAACATGCAAAGAAGTTCCTGCTACAAAAAAAGGCCCTAGGTTTTGACAACAAACATTGTAAACAGAATAAGAAGCAAAAGGTGGGTGTGGCTGGATGACCACAGTTCTGGTAACATGGGGGTGCGGCCTAATATGCGAATGAGTGGTGCTGTCAGGGTTGTGGCCTAATATGCTAATGAGTTTCTGCTACTGGGTGTGACCTATTATGCTAATGAGTTCCTGCTGGGCTTTTTCTACAAAAAAAGCCCTGAGTGTATGGCTGTGGATGAGTATGAGAGTGAGAATATGTAAGTGTGAGGGAGGTCAGGGTATCCTTAGTTTAATTTGAAACCAGAGGAGCAAGACCGAAAGAACTGGACATGTGTCTTCCACAGCCGTTCTATCAGTTTGGCTCCCGCAGAGACTGCTGCATCAGTAACCTTCGTCGTAAATTACCTCACAATCTCAGGTAAGTTGAACGGCTGGGTGTTTGTTGAAACAGAGGCCACCGAAGCGTGGTGGACCACGATTCCTTCTGGTGTCTGGAAAGAGATGAGAACGCCATCATGGAAGGGGGGGAATCAATCAGTCAATCTCTCCGCTGACTAGTTCTAGGAATCGCCAAGAACTCTGTGGCCAGGACTTCCTGTAAGGTTTTGTTTGTTCGTTTTTGCCTTCAAGACCCCCCACAGTATTTTCAAGGTGAGAGATGCTCAGGGGTGGTTTCCCATTGCCTGCCTCTGCGTGGCAACCCTGGACTTCCTTGGTGGTCTCCCATCCAGATACGAACCAGGGCCGACCCTGCTTAACTCACAAGATCTGGTGATAAGAGCGGACCAGCCTGGGCCACCCAGGTCAGGGCAAGAGACATGCAGAGGTGGTTTCCCATCGCCTGCCTCTGCGTAGCAACCCTGGGCTCCCTTGGTGGTGAGATCTGGCCAGATCGGGCTAGCCTAGGCCATCTAGGCCAGGGCACTGTGTATATAGCTTGCAATTATATTGTATACAGTATTCAAAAAATATATCCTGTATACAGCATTCAGCATGTTTCTAGGGTAGGGGTCCTGCTGGCCTAGGTCAACCTGAGCTGTGTGTCAGCAAATAATCGTACGTGCGTGGCCAGTTCACAACCCTAAAGAGAATGCTGCAATGCTGAAGATGTTGTTATGAGGAGGAGGAGGAGGAGGAGGAGGAGGAGGAGGAGACTGGATTTATACCCCTGCCCTTCACTACCCAAAGGAGTCTCAGAGCGGCTTACAATCTCCTTTCCCTTCCCCTCCCCACAACAGACATCCTGTGAGGAAGAAGAAGAAGAAGAGAAGAGATTGGATTTATACTCCTGCCCTTCGCTACCCAAGGGAGTCTCAGAGCAGCTGACAATCTCCTTTCCCTTCCCTTCCCCACAACAGACACCCTGTGAGGAAGAAGAGGAAGAAGAAGAGGAGATTGGATTTATACCCCGCCCTTCACTACCCGAAGGAGTCTCAGAGCGGCTTGCAATCTCCTTTCCCTTCCCTTCCCCACAATAGACACCCTGGGAGGTAGGCGGGGCTGAGAGAGCTCTTTCGAGGACTGCTCCTGAGAGAACAGCTCTGAGAGAACTTGTGACTGACCCAAGGTCACCCAGCTGGCTGCATGTGGGAGAAGTGGGGGAATCAAACCCGGTTCTCCCTTATTAAAGTCTGTGCTCTTAACCACTACACAAAAGCGGCTCTCCAAACACAGGAATGCTGTGAACCTTCCTGTGTGCAGGCCTCACAGGTGAACACACACTGAAACTCCAGCTAGACCACTGGAAGTTCTTCATGCAAAAAAAATACTTCATTTATGGCATTCACCGCTATAGTAAAGGTAAAGGTTCCCTTGCTCGAAAGCCAGTCGAGTCCGACTCTAGGGTTGCGGTGCTCATCTCCGTTTCAAAGCCGAAGAGCCAGCGCTGTCCGAAGACGTTTCCGTGGTCATGTGGCTGGCATGACTAAACACCAAGGCGCACGGAACGCTGTTCCCTTCCCACCGTAGTGGTACCTATTTATCTACTTGCAATGTCTTGCTTTCGAACTGCTAGGTTGGCAGGAGCTGGAACTAGAGACGGCTCACTCCGTCATGCGGCACCCGGGTCTCGAACTGCTGAACTACCGACCTTCCACAGCCTGCAGTTCAGCATCTTAACCACTTGAGCCACCGCAGCTCCTATACGATGTGGTAATTGTCACTAGCTTGAAAGGGAATTAGACACATTCAGGGCAAATGGCCTGAATGGATCCTCCAGGGTCAGGAGCATTGTACCACTGACTTCAGGAGAGGGCAGCTGCCTCTATGTCCTGTCTGTGACTGGTGGGAAAATAAAACAAAACAAAAGCAATATGACAGATGTTTCCAGGTATAGTTGCTCTGGCCCCTTCCCCTGATCCTTCTAGAGGCTTCTGCCGTGGCACACCAACAGGGCCGGCCTCACCACATGGCCCGCTTCCCACCCTTGCAGGGGCGGATGCTTCCCTCACGGCTCTCACCTGAAACTCGACAATCACGTTTTTATTCAGAGGCTCCAGGTGGTAACCCACGGGAAAGATCCGATAGCGCACTGAGAAAGAAAAGAATGTTATCGTAAGGATGCCTGCCTCCCCTCCAGGTGGGAGCTCAATATCTCCCAGAATTACATCTAGGGTTGCCAACTCAGGGTTAGGAAATACCCGGAGATTTGGGAGGTGGAGGTGGAGAGACTTGAATACGGTATAACCAGGGGTCATTTCCTGCCGGAGCGCACAGGAGCGGAGGTCCGGCAGTAAAGAGCCCAGGGGGCGGGCGCATTCTTTTTTCTTTTTTTTTTAACGATTTTATTAGAAGATAAGTCAAATATACATAAACAAGATTACTGTTTAAACAATAATACAGACTGTAAGTGAAAATTCATTTAACACAATGCCATCTATAAACTTATCAGTAGGAACAGCTTATTACCGTGACCTTGTCCCTTGGGGCGGGCGCATTCAACAAGCCCCACCCCCTGCTCCCAGCAGCCCTCAGAGCAAGAAGCAGCCAGGTAAGTTGCAGAGCCCCCCCCCAGCCCCCTCGGTCCAAAACAGTCCAGTGGCACCTTTAAGACCCAGTTTTATTCGGGTACAAGCTCTCCCTCCTCTGCGAGGACCCGGAAGTGACGTGATCACGCTGGGCACGCTGGGGGCGGGGCCACGACCATCCGAGGGAAAACCATAGTTTTCCCTCGGATGACCGTGGCTCCACCCCCAGCGTGCCCGGCGTGGTCGCGTCACTTCCGGGTGACGTGCACGTCACGTACTTTGGGGGTGGGGTTCCCCCGGGGCCCGATCCGCCGGCGGCCCCCCAGGGTGACTTGGCAAGCCTACTACTCCCCCTCTCGCTGCTGGTGGCCGGGGTGGGGGGAAGGGACACACCTCGCAATCCTAGTTATCACTGGTTTATGGAGATAAAGTTCAGATGCTGGTAAACGTCTGGCCCAGGAAGGGATCTACTGGCGTTCCAGCGGGGAAATCCGGCAGAGCCGACGTGCGTACCTGCACTTCCAGGGGTGTAGATGGTCTTATCCGTTTGGATGAAGATGTAGCCGCTTTGGAAGGAGACCAGGACCACCTTCTCCAGCTGGAACTGGGCACAGCTGGCTTGGACAACCACGTACTGTCTTTGCTTCGAATCCTTCTTCATGTCTTTGGAGGGGACCTGTACAGGGAGATCAGGAGCAAGATAATCAACTTAGGCGGGGTCTTTTCCAGTAAGGCAAACACTACCGCAGGAAGAGAGAAATAGGGGGCTTCAGCAGAAGAAAGGCTTCTTGTGACAGACAAGCCTCTACTAGGCCTCTTCTGGAATTTTCCATTGGTATGGCCAGGGGTCCCCAACCTTTTTGAGCCTGCTGGCACCTTTGCTTATATATAATTTTTATTTTATTTTTTCTAACAAACAGAAACAAAAGAACAGAGGAAAAGAACAGATAGAAATACTGCATTACTGGCACTTTTGGAATTTTGACACCATGTGGCGGGGGCAGCCACAAAATGGCTGTTTCAGGAGGTCGGAGCCAGATACAAAATGGCTGCCGCAGCTTCCCTTCGGTCACCAAGTAAAGATGCTTCTGCTGTGGTGGCAGCTGCCGCAAAGCAATGTTTTCAAAAATCCTTCACAATCAAATCAACCATGGCCAATCAGCAGCCTTACTGGGCAAAAGCCCTATGTGGCTCCACCCACTTTCTAAAGACCCTTCGCGGTTCCCAGGAAATGTGCTGATGGATGCCATGGCACCCACCAGCACCATATTGGGGACCCCTGAAATACTGGATAGATGTCCTTTGCTTGTGATCCAGAATGAATTTCCTAAGAATGCCTGTATGTGAGTCAAAGTTTGGATTAAGGTTGCCAGACCCCACAGGGGAGGCGGGAGTCCCTTGCCACTGGGCCCTGCCCCCCAGCTGCCAATCAGCTGGCCAGTGGGAGGGGGAGACTTAGCAGGTTGCCGGCATCGCACAGGAAGTGACATCATCAGACCAGCCACTTCTGGGTGATATTCTGGCATTTGGGCAAAACCTCTATGGTAGAAGCCAGTTTTACCATAGTGTCACGACAGGGCCAGTGGGGCAAGGCAGAGAGGGGGAGTTCACAGTCCAGTCCGAGAGTCAAGCCAGAGAGAGGGCAAAAGGACCCGAGCAGAAGTCCCAATACACAAAGCCAAGCCGTAGTCAAGGCGTTACCGAGCGTCAGCGTCCAGATAAGCAAGCGTCGAAGTCAGTATGCCGAGCCGAGGATCAAAAACCAGGGGGTTGTCGAAACGCGGACTGGAGTCAGGAGCCAGGAAGTCAGTCAATAGCCGGAGATCAGGAACAGAGTCTGAGTTGCAGAGCTTCTGGTCCGAAAGACGAGTTTGCCAGCACGATTAGCCAGCAGTCAGCGACCTATTCAAATAGCTCGCTGGGTTGTTACCTCATTAGTGCCTCATTAGCACTGCCTTGCGAAGTCCTTGATCCTGCTAGAACTCCGGGCTTATTGATCTCCAACTGTGCAGGCATGCTTCTTTGCGTCTGGTTGCCAAGTCCCGGCGTCTCCGATCCCTCAGCCGGTCGACAGGTGGCGGAGAATCAAGTGGCGTGCTGCTGGGGCCAGGCACCGCCTGATCAGTTTCATGTGCAGGCTGTCCCGGAGGCTGGTTGTAGTGTATTCAAAGCTGCCTTGAATGCATGATATGTTGTGAAACATCTAATTGAAGTGTAATGTAAAGCTTCGTCCTGGGCTAGGATCCAAATCCGTCCAATCGTGTTACTAGCCCAGGAAGCACCTAACCAATCACCTTCAAGCAAGCTCCCTGAGCGGGAACATCCGTGATTGGTCCTTATGTGAGCAACCTTATTGGTTGGTATTTGTACAGTGGGTGTGGCTACATTAGCCGGGAATGTTTAAAAGCAGGACAGCTGCAATGTAAAGGCTGTTCTGGCTATCAGATGTTGATCCGTGTTGGGAGTTGTGTTCGAGTGGAAGAATAAAGTTGTGTTCTTGCTGAATCACTCTCCGACTGCTTTGTTAAGCGAGCGACTTAACACTGGTGCTCATCCTTTCCGGCACTTAGGTTTGGCAAAGACTCCCGTGCCTCCGAAGGTGTTAAAGGCACGGAGTCCTCAATTTCAGAGCTCCCAGGCGCCAGGTCGGGGGCAGGCATGACACATAGAATTTTTGCCCAAATACCAGAACATTGCTGGTACAGCGACATCACTTCCGTCGCGACCTCAGTGACATGGCTTGGGCCTTTCTCTTTCTCCTGGTAAGTCCTCCACCCCCTTCCCTGTCGGTTGCCAGGACCCTAGTCTGGATGAATGTCCACCGAGTTCTCTGGCTGTATAAAGTACTGCGACTGAGGCATAGCGTAGTGATTTCAGCTCATACTCTATTTAGAAAACTAGAGATACAGTAGCCGGCCAGAGGTCCGCTTAAATACAAGTACAAACCACACCCACAACACCCCCCACACCCGTGATAGGCTATTTACAGTGCTACTGCGCCCATACGTTCCCTTCAGGATCTGGCCGAGCCGATCGGCTGGCTCTAGGATCCTCCCCTTCTATTGTCACAGGATGCAAAGCTAGGCTCGTTCGCATGGCCACGTGTGAGGGCGGCCGTGTGCGCGGTCGCCATTAGGACACAACAGGCTGAAAAATCCCGAGCCTAAACAATGTTTGTTCTCCTATGGAAACTTTTTTTTTTTTACTGCCCCAAAGAGCAGAATTTTTATTAAAATTTCAACTAAATACAATATACAAACACAAGACATACATACACTACAACATACAACAAATAACACGAATGGGGGGTAAATATCCCATGCTTAATATACTGGGGGTGGGGAAAACGCCTCTTATTTTCTAGTATAAAAGTCTAGTTCCATTGTCACTTATATATTTATTTATAAGCTCAATTTATAGCCTGCCCTCCCCGCAATGCGGGCTCAGGGCGGCTCACAATCAGGCATAAGCCAGCGCATAAAACACATTTAAAACCATTTAAAACAAATTCTACAATATTACGACATTATTATTCTTAAGTGCTCTGGATGTTCCGAATTGAGCAAAGTGCTCTGGATGTTCCAAACTGGACTAGGACTATATTATTGGGTTATATATATATCATTATCTATAAATTATAATTCTGCATATCAAAGCTTACGTCTAGACCTCCTTGTTATATCATTATTGTTAGATTCAAATACTGAGCAATCTCTAGAGTCTATTGGCATTTAAAGATTTAAACCTTTATATTAATATCCTTGTGGATATTAATATCCTCCTTCAAGAAGGAGGCGCTGTGATGCCTGCGTGCATGCGCAAAAAAATTTTTTTAAACCCATACCGTGCACGCCTCCTTCAGTGGACGCCTTCTAGACAATCCACAACGGAGGCAGCATGCGGTAAGGCGATTCACCAGGGGGATGTCTAGTCGTGCTACGATGGATTAAAAAGATCGGGATCAAATTCAAACTGGCATAATGGCGGGATTGCCTGCTCATCTGAACACACCCCAAGGGTTGCCCAAGGTCATCCAGCAGGTGCAAGTGGAGGACTGGCGAATCAAACCCGGTTCTCCCAGATTAGAGTCCGCACACTTAACCACGACACCAAACTGGCTCACCAGTTAACAATCGCTGGGCTTGACGATGCTGGTGCTTCCCCGTGTCTGTTTCTGACCGATTTTATTTATTTTATTAAGTTATTTAAAACATTTTAATGCCGCCTTTCCAGCGGATCGGGGTGCCCAAGGAGGTACACGTTAAAAACATTTGAATTTTTTTTTAAAAAAAAATATTTGAAAATGATGAAACGGGTCGATAAAAACACACGAGTAATACCAGAACCTGGGAGGGAGTATGGCAAACAAAACAAAAAAAAAGTTTTCACCCAGAGGCAGAGGACACAAATAGAGGGAGGCGGATGAATCCCCCCTGGGGAATGAGTTCCAAAGTTTTGGTGCCACAGCCGAGAAACCCATTTCTTAGGTCACCACCTGTCTAGTCTCAGATGGCAGGGAAAACCCGAAGCCGGGACCCCAAAGGTGTCAGTAGTATTCAGGCAGGTTCATATGGTAAGTTGCAGTCCTTAAGGTATGTTGGTTCCAGGCTCTACAGTGCTTTCAAGGTCAATACCAGCACTTTAAATTGAGCCCAGAAGCAAACTGGTGAGAGGGTTGGAATCAAAATCTTATGAGGAAAGGCTGAGAGATGTGGGTATGTTTAGCCTGGGAAAGAGAAGGCTTAGAGGGGACACAATTGCAGTCTTCAAGTATCTGAAGGGCTGTCATGTAGAAGATGGAGCGGATCTATTCTCTCTCGCTCCAGATTGCAAGACTAGGGTCCCTGCCACACTGCAGGGAAAAGGACGGCTGAACTGCGGCTAATCTGAGCCGCACCAAAGTTGAGACGCCGCGGCGTGGCGCTCCCCAGCACGATCAGACGCCGGGGAGAAAGAGTCGGATGGGAGGGGGAGTCTGCCGAACTGCGCATGCCCGAGTATGCGCAGTACGCCCGGGGGCCGGGATGCGCCGGTGCAAGGACGCGCCGGCCGATAGATCTCCCGGATTGCAAGACTAGATCTAACGGGTGGAAATTACAAGGGAGTCGATATTGGCTAAATATCAGGAGAAACTTCCTAACTGTAAGAGTAGTTGAGCAGTGGAACAGTCTGCCTCGGGAGGTGGTGGAGGCTCCTTCGCTGGACATTTTCAAGCGGAGGCTGGACGACCATCTTTCGGGTATGTTGTAGAGCTGTCCTTTGGCTGTGCTCCTGCAGAGTGCAGGGGGTTGAACTAGATGACCTGCAAGGTCCCTTCCAACTCTCACATTGTATGATTCTACGTAGGGCTCTCTTTCGGCTGTGCTGCAGAGTGCAGGGGGTTGAACTAGATGACCTGCAAGGTCCCTTCCAACTCTAACACTCTATGATTCCAAGAGTGGTTGAGCAGTGGAACAGTCTGCCTCGGGAGGTGGTGGATGCTCCTTCGCTGGACGTTTCCAAGCGGAGGCTGGACGACCATCTTTCGGGTATGTTGTAGGGCTATCTTTCGGCTGTGCTCCTGCAAAGTGCAGGGGGTTGGACTAGATGACCTGCAAGGTCCCTTCCGACTCCAATGTTCTATGATTCTCACACTGGTTCCCAAAGTGCGCAGTACCGCCCCCTGAGGGTGCTGGAATGATCCAGGTGGGCAGTCGGAGCCTTGGGTGCAATTGGGGGGTGGGGTGTTGAAGACAAATAAGGGGGCGTTGGAAACCTGGCGGTAGGCTAAATAAGTTTGGGAACCTAGATGGAACAAGACTGGAGTGAGATGGTCCCTAGCCAGGGCTATTTTTGGGCAGGAACGCACAGGAATGGAGTTCCGGCTGGCTCCCGAGTTGGCCACGCCCAGCAGGAGCTCGTTAGCATATTAGGCCACACCCAACAGCAGAAACTCATTAGGATTGGCTCCATTAGGGGTGTGTGGCCTAACATGCAAAGGAGTTCCTGCTACAAAAAAAGCCCTGGGTTTGGACAACAAACCAGGTAAACAGAATAAGAAGCAAAAGCCTGGATGAGCACACTTCTGGTAATATGGGGGTGCGGCCTAATGTGCTAATGAGGTGTGCTGTCAGGGGTGTGGCCTAATATGCTAATGCGTTTCTGCTGTTGGGTGTGGCCTATTATGCTAATGAGTTCCTGCTGGGCTTTTTCTACAAAAAGAGCCCTGCCTAGGACCCACTCCTGTCAACAGTCCTCATTTCCGCATGTTTATGGATGCAGCTGTCCACAACCCTCACCACACACCCACCTTTATGCTTGGCGTCACCATCATGCCATTTTCGTTGTCCAGGGTAGCTTTGACCAGGTACAAGGCCTTCTTCTTCTGTGGGAAGTCGTAGACTGTGACGGTCACTTCCGTGGGCCCGTTGAGGCCGTGAGCTTCCACGAGGATCTTCTCTTCACTCTCCACCCGCAGAACGTTGGGAGTTATGAGGTCATACCTGTGGAGGAGAAAGCATTCATGCATCGAGTGGGTGGCACTGCTCCCTCTAAGCTGTGGAGTCTTGTGAGCAAAATTCTACGTTGTGAGCTGCTGGCATTAAAGTGGTGAGCGAGCGACTTGGCTCCTGCATAAATCAGTTTGCTCTGGAGCTCTCCTTCCTGAGCTGAAACAAAATGGGTGAGCCAGGGGCTAAGAAACTGTGAGCTAGCTCACGCTAACTCAGCTTAGAGGGAACACTGGCTGGTGGTACTGAAATGTAGCTTGTAGGAGGCATTTCCTGACTCTCTTGTTTTGGAAAAAGTCATGAAATATTTTTTGGGGGGGGGGATCGCCCTTAAGATCACTCAGTATTCAGCCCAGCCAGAAAGCAAGAAAGGTCAAGAGCAAGGGCCCTCAACTTTTTTGAGCCTGCGGGCACCTTTGGAATTCTGAGACAGTGTGTTGGGATAGCCACAAAATGGCTGCCACAAAATGACTCTCAGAGATCACCTACAGTCACACAGTGGAGAGCCTTATCCTGTCGTGGCAACTCCTGCCAAAGCAATGTTTTTAAAAATCTGCACAGCCAATCACATCTCTTCACCTACTTTCTAAAAACACTTGGCAGGTAACAGGGAAGAAGAAGAAGAAGAAGAAGAAGAAGAAGAAGAAGAAGAAGAAGAAGAAGAAGAAGAAGAAGAAGAAGAAGAAGAAGAAGAAGAAGAAGAAGAAGAAGAA